ATCATTTTTTTTAAGAATATACTTTCTAGGAAATTCCATAACCGTAGACTTTTTTATATATATTTTTTAAGGTTATACTGACTCTTAATCATCGATTTCAAGAATATTTTAACCCATAATTCGAACATTTTCTGGCTACACAGGGTATATATAATTATATACGACCAAAACGTGCCACATCGAAGTAGACCCTAGTTCTCTTTGGACCTAATCCATTTCAGAACATTTGCAGTAGATCTAGGAGTGTCCTTCTGTCTATCTGTCTGGCTGGCTGATAATTCTAGAAGGGAGTATACTATTTGCTCCAAAATTGATACATTGTAATATTATTGTCAAATTTAGATCGAGTTCGAAGATGGGCAACATTGGTCGACTACTTCTGGTACCTCACCCACAAAAGTTTAAAAATTTCACAGAAAATACTTTTCCTGGTAAAATAAACTTTTCAAATCCTAATATTTCTATCAGTGCTATGTTAGATTTGAAAACGGACAAAATCCTCTCCCACTCCTTCTAGTTGCTCCCTCACAAAGAATTAACATTTTGTATAACTATAGCCTTTTATATAATGGTAATAAGCATCCGATTCTGTTCAATTTTCACAAATCCCAATATTTTTTACTAAATCATGATCTGCTGTGAAGATGGGATATACATATTGGACTACTCCTTCTGGTATCTCCCAAACAACGGGTCAACATTTTGAAAAACATTGTAGCTCTTAAAACCTAAAATGACCATCCAATCCCTTGCAAACTCGGCACATCCCAATATATCAATCAATTCAATCTCTGGTGTGAAGATGGCCTATATCGTCAAACTCCTCCACGACGGGTCAAATTTTATACCCTCCACCTTAGAAAGAAGGGTATATTAACTTTGTCATTCCGTTTGTAACATCTCTAAATATTCGTCGTAGACCCCATGATGTATATATATTCACAATCAGCATAAAATTTTAAGTCGATTTTACGATGTCCGTCTGTTTGTCTGTTGAAATCACGATACATGCCATTATTTGAGGTAGATCGTCAAATTTTAGCAGAATAATTTGTAATGTGTCTAGGATGATTGGCATTGAAAATGAGATGTATCGGTCTACGTTTTGGTATAGTCCCCATATAACAGTACCTCCCGATATTCGGTATTTTGATGATTTTTGCCACACTTCTTCACGGATTTGTCTGGAAATTGGAATTTGTAGGTCATAATGGGTGCTAGTTCGTGTGGCGAAACATTGTATGTATAGGTCCTTTGGTATAGTCCCCATATAACGGTACCTCCCGATATTCGGTATTTTGACGATTTTTGCCACATTTTTTTCACGGATTTGTCTGAAAATTGGCATTTGTAGGTTGGTATAATAGGTTCTAGCATCGTTGGTGAAACATTGTATGTATAGGTAAACGTTTTTGTATTGCCCTATATAGCAGTACCTCCCGATATTCGGTATTTTGATGATTTTTGCCACATTTTCTCACGAATATGTCTAAAAATTGGTATTTGTTGATCATAATTGTTCTAAGGTTTCCATTACCCTAAGGTGGAGTGTATTAAAAGTTCGGCCCGGCCAAACTTAATGTTTTTTTTTTTTAATTGTTGAATAATGAAAATTATGGGATATATCGGCCCACTTCATCTGGTTGAGTTTTTGGTTCTATCGGTTTAAATAATACCAAATTGTACCATTTTAGAAGTTTAGTACCATTTTAGAACTTTTCGTAATATTACAGTTTGAATTTCCAAAAACCGTTTGGTACATCTATCTTAAACTGCATCAGTGTCTCTCATTCCAAAATTCAGAATTCTAGTTCAATCTGTTAGTCTAATATAATGTATTAAATTTTAAGTACATTTTAGTACTTTTCGTATTCATTTAGTACGAATTTCCAAAATTTTGGATAATCGGACAATTGCTGAGGGCACATATCTGTCTAAATCTTTTTATATTGTTTTATCCGTTATTTAATCCAGTCGTTGAAGTTCTTAGATTCCAATCAAATTTTTTATTGAATGGAACTCCCAGAGGCTTCGTCATCCCTTAACAGGTTAATGTTTACACACACATCATATACGTAATGCTAACATTGCGTTACGTGCTATTTATAATTTCTCATTTTAAAAAAAAAAACGTAATATGAATAATTTATTTAATTTGATAGGCCACAAATCGAATTGAATTTCCTTGTTTTGAAGGTGGGAATTCTGAAACTGAACTAGAATGGAATTTTAACAACAGAAGTTGCCAAGGATGGGGATTGAATTGGGTTATCTACAGATAGAATAGCCTATGTGGGAAGAATTATGGATTGAGGATGCTTTTTGGGAAGATTCAGGGTTAGATTAGGTTTTGGAGACATAGCTGCCATTAAATGTGAGGCAGCTGCGTTACGAGGAGGCCAGCAGACCATTGGATTAATCTCTGAAAGATAAATGGAAATAATGAATAGAAAGATTGCAGATGGAAGTTTAGTAGTAGATAACAAAACAAAAAGCAGTAAGTTCGGCAGGGCTGAAATTTGAAAGCACTCCGCCATTTGGAATGAATTTGGAAAATTTCCAAAAAATAAAATTCGTTAAAAATTATGGAACAGTGTTGGGCTTGGCTGTTGCAAAATGGCCAGGCTTAATCCTATTATTGTTGTTTTTATAAAAACAACGTTTGTTTATTAGTGGAGAACGGTGGTAATGTTTACCAGGGAGTAAGGCAGGGAATACATAGGTTTCGGAAAGAGCCACCAATCCTCATCAGTTCCCCTGTTTTTGACTGGGATATTCTCCCAGAAGTTATTTAAAAAAATTATGTTAAAATCTTAAAAATGGGGTCTATACGAAGACGTGGATCTGCATAGACAACTTTTGCTATAAGCCATTACAGTATTCAAATACGAAGCTTGAAAAACAAATCCGATGAATAATTTAGCTAAAATCATCAACATACCGAATATAGGGAGATATCGTTATATGGGGGCTACACGAAGACCTAGACCTGCTTAGGCAAATTTCTGTCGAAAGCTGTAGTGCCTATTAGGAGCTTCAAATAAGAAATTTCAAACAATTTCGATGAATATTGTAACTAAAATCGTTATAATAGCGAATATAGGGAGGTACTAATATATATGGGGCCTATAAGAAGACCTGGACCTGCATAGAAATTTTCCTGGCATAGACTGTGATACCCATTACAAATTCTAAATACGAAATTTGAAACAACTCCGGTGAATAATGTCGCTAAAACCAAATATAGGGAGGCACTAATATATGGGGCCTGTACGAAGACCCGGACTTGCATAGACAATTTTCTGTCATAGACTGTAGTTCCCAATAGGAACTTCAAATACGAAATTTCGAACAATCTCGGTGAATATTGTACCTAAAAACCGGTAAAATACCCGATATAGGGAGGTAGTGATATACAGGGTGAGATAAAAAACTGCAACCAACTTGAGACTGCTGTCATTTGTAAGCCACTCGTCCGACAGCTGCTAAAATTATTCCAGTGACAGCTGACAAAAGAATTTACAAGCGTACTAAAGAATTTTGGGGAGAATTTTCCAGAAAAAATGTTATTCGTGATGGAATTCAAGCGCAACAGAAAGAAAATATACTCAAAAGAGCTAAGAGTTCGCTTCGCTTGGCAGAAAGTGGTGAACTGCCGAATTTGGTTTTATCCGTCTCCGATGAGAAAACATTCGTTGTCCAGCAGCAGCCCAGTAATCAAATAAAATGATCGTGTTTACTTGCCAAAGAGGTCAGCTGAAAATGAACACCAGAACTCAAGCGCCAGCCATGGTGATGTTGTCGCTCTCCACTGCCGGTGGTCGCTCTCCACTCGTATTAATCGACCGTGACATCAGAATAAATGCCGAACATTGTCGCGAAAATATTCTGGAGGGTGTATTAAAGCCTTGGGCACGCAAACATTTTGGCCGTAGACCTAGGACATTCCAACAGGACTCAGCACCATCGCACTTAGCACGCGCCACCCAAGAATGGTTACAAAATGAGGTTCCTCGCTTCATTTCCAGCGCACAACGGCCACCAAAATCTCCGGATACTAATCCGTTGGACTATTGTGTCTGGAGTATTTTGGAAAGCAAGGTTGGCACTAAAAAATACCAAAATGTCGATCACCTAAAGCAAGCCGTTCGCCGGGAATGGATCAAAATACTGCAGAGCAACATTCGGGCAGCGTGTGACAGTTTCATTAGCCATTTGAATGTCATAATTCGTGCCAAAGGTGACCAATTCGAACAAATCTAAGCTTATTCTAAAATTTCATTCTATTTCCGATTTTTTTTTATCGTTGAACCTTAATAGAAATTCCTCTTCCAGGGGGTAAAGTGCTTAAAAAGAACTTCAAGTATAGATTTTTTTTGACAATTCCATTTAAAAATGTAGCTAAAATCATCAAAATACCGAATATAGGGAGGTACCGTTGTAAGGGGGATATACGATATCGTGGACCTATATAGACAATACTCTTCCAGGGGGTAAAGTACTCAGAAGGAACTGTCTGAAAATCCGCAAAAGGAGTTCAATCATCAAAATACCGAATATTGGTGGGGTATCGTTATATGGATGCTATTCGATATCGTGGACCGATATAGCCCATTTTCAAACTTGAAATACTGATCTGTGCAAAATTTTAGCTTCCTATCTTTATTCGTTTTGCGTGACTACAACATACGGACAGACGAAGGACGGACAGGGCTACATTGTCTTAGAATTTAGAATGTCTAAAATTATTTTTTTCGATGAGCTACAAACGGAATGATAAACTTAACATACCCTCCATACTATGTATGATGGAGGGTATAAAAAGCAGAAGCTTCTGGAAATTGAAAATTCTCAATCAAGTGAACAATTCACGCAAGGACTTCCTTAAATGGTAGATCGCCCATAAACATTTTTTAGATATATGTTTTAAAATCTTCTCTTTCGTTTTTTTAAAGAGGATAATTACTTATATTTCCTCCCCCTCTCTCTCTCTTTTCCAGATGACGCTGTACATAACGGTGGGCCTCCTAACTCTAATACTCATCATTTGGTACATCTTCTATCGCAGATATATACGGGACAGGGAGCGCCAGAAGTTGTTGCTCGCCCAAAGTTCCTACGCATCGGCAGATATGCGTGGTTTGCGTTTTCGCAAACGTGACAAAATGCTCTTCTATGGTCGGCGAATGCTGCGCAAAGTGAAGAATGTTTCGGGTCAGGTGTATGGTGGGCAAGGTAGGAAGCGGCGAGCAGTTATGCGCTTTGCCAAACGCCTACTCCAGCTGCGCAGAGAAAATATACCACTGCAAATGAAAACTGTCGAACCTCCGGCCGAATATTTGGAGGAAACAATGGAGGGTTCAGATCGGGTACCACCCGATGCTCTCTATATGTTGCAGAGTATTCGTATCTTTGGGCATTTTGAAAAGCCCATCTTCTTGAAGTTATGTAAACACACTGAGACTTTGACTTTGGATCCGGGCGATTTTCTTTTCAAAATCACCGATGCCGATGATAGTGTCTTCATTGTCCAGTCTGGTCAAATAAATGTCTTCATATCGAATGCCGATGGCAGTACGTTGTCGCTGAAGACAGTGCGAAAGGGGGAATCGGTTACATCTTTGCTGAGCTTTGTCGATGTGCTGTCGGGTAATCCGAGTTATTATAAAACTGTGACCGCCAAAGCGGTGGAGAAAAGTGTGGTCATACGCTTGCCAATGCAGGTGAGGATAGGTTAAAAACTTTTAATTTATTTTCCAATTTATCCACAAATTTGGATAATTTATCCACAAAAGTGGATATGATATTTTATCCACAAACTCGGATAATTAATTTTATCCGGATAATTTCTTAGAAAATTCCATTAAATAATTTTCCCTTTTTCCTCTCTTCTTCCCACAGGCCTTCAAAGAGGTCTTCGATGAGAATCCCGACATTATGATCCGGGTGATACAGGTCATAATGATACGCCTGCAACGAGTCCTCTTCACAGCCCTGCGCAACTATTTGGGTCTCAACTCAGAACTTGTCCAGAATCATATGCGCCACAAAAAATCCCAAAACAATGCCCAACAAACGCCACAGTCTGCTGGAGTGCAGCAGCAGCAGCAGCAACAACAACAGTCAAGTGCCACTGCAACACAACAACAAACACAAGTGAAACATTCACCCGGCCATCGACGATCTCAGGGTGAAACCATGCCACCACCACAGCACAGCCTTTCAGATCCTATACCACCACCTGATATGCTACAGGATGTGGCCAGCTATGAGGCCTTGATTGCCAATGGTTCGGCCCAGTATGCGGCCCACAGCAGCGTGGGCAATTTATCAACTCGCCGCTATTCCATGACACCGGCTGAGATCAATGTCAATGCCTCTTCCATAGATATGCAGTTGGTGAACATGTCGGCGGTGGATAGTTTTCTGAAAGAACTGGGTTTACCCGAAGAGGATCGCGCGTTTCTGGAACCCTTTGTGGAGGTTCGCGAGGTGGATGTTGATGTTACCCTCATTAAGGAGGGTAATTCCGATGATATTTGTGTTTGGTTTGTTATGACTGGTGGTTTGGCTGTCTACCAGAGTGGTGTCGATCCCATACGCCATTTCCAAAGTGATCGGGTCGATTGCTTTATACATCATGTCCATCCCGGTGAGATTGTGGGCGGTCTGGCAGTGCTGACTGGTGAGGCCAGTGCCTACACCATTACCTCCCTCTATCCCAGTCGGGTGGCCTTCATACGCCGTCCCGCCATCTATCAGATAATGCGCGAAAGACCCAAAATCGTTTTGGATCTGGGCAACGGCGTGGTTCGACGTCTCTCGCCATTGGTACGACAGTGCGATTATGCCCTCGACTGGATATTTTTGGAGTCGGGTCGTGCCGTCTATCGCCAGGATGAAATGAGCGATAGTACCTACATTGTGCTGAGTGGTCGTATGCGTTCCGTTATCACCCAATCAAGTGGCAAGAAGGAGATTGTGGGCGAGTACGGTAAAGGAGACTTGGTTGGTATTGTGGAAATGATAACGGAGACATGTCGTACTACAACGGTCATGGCGGTCAGAGACTCAGAACTTGCCAAACTGCCCGAGGGTCTGTTCAATGCCATTAAACTTCGTTATCCGATTGTGGTGACAAAACTGATATCCCTGTTGAGTCATCGTATTTTGGGCACAATGCAATCACGTTCGGCCGGCAATGCTGCTCCACTGGAGGCAAATCCGGTGACCCATAAATACTCTACCGTAGCCTTGGTTCCTGTCTCCGAAGATGTACCCCTGACCGCCTTCACTTATGAATTGTTCCATTCGCTATGTGCCATTGGTCCCACACTGCGTCTCACCTCGGAGGTTGTGCGCAAACAGTTGGGTGTTCACACCTTCGAACAGAGCAATGAATATCGTTTGACCTCTTGGTTGGCCCAGCAAGAAGATCGTTATATCATTACTTTGTATCAGTGTGATCCCTCGTTGAGTGCCTGGACACAGCGTTGTATGCGTCAAGCTGATGTCATTCTCATTGTGGGCCTGGGGGATCGTGCACCCACGGTGGGTAAATTTGAGCGGGAAATTGATCGATTGGCCATGCGTACACAAAAGGAATTGGTACTGCTCTACTCAGAGACTGATAGTTCAAAGCCCATGAACACATTGCAGTGGTTAAATGCTCGACCCTGGGTCACCAAACATCATCACATCCAGTGTGTGAAGCGTATGTTTACGCGCAAGAGTCAATATCGGATTGTGAGTAGAATAAATAGATAATTTTAAATTTTAGATCTAATTGAGTGATCTCCTTCCATTTATGTTTGCAGAACGATTTGTATAGCCGTGTGCTGATGTCTGAACCCAACATGCATTCGGACTTTTCACGTCTGGCCCGCTGGCTAACGGGCAACTCAATTGGCCTGGTGCTGGGCGGTGGCGGTGCCCGTGGTGCTGCCCACATTGGCATGATGAAAGCCATCCAAGAGGCTGGTATACCCATTGATATGGTCGGTGGTGTTAGTATTGGGGCGCTTATGGGTGCTCTATGGTGTTCGGATCGTAATATCACAACGGTCACACAAAAGGCCAGAGAATGGTGTAAGGTAAGGTGGTGGCAAGTTGTTTATACTTAAGGATAAATAGGATAACCCCATCCATTCATAAATATAAACAAGTTTTGTAATGCTAACTTTAATATTGAATTTAAAAATAATTTAAAACAGGAAGTTTTCCAAGAGGAGAATGTGAGACCTCTTTAAATAATATTATAGCGTCTTCTAAGAGAATACTAAGAAGACGCCGTAATATTCTTTAAAGAGCTCTCAAATTCTCCTATTAGAAAACTTCCGGCTTTTCTAAAATAAAACCTTAATTGTCTTCAATTAGAAGTACTTTCTGTGGTCATCTTTGAGAGAGACTTCTCTATCTCTGAAGGAAAGGTGTTAGCGTCCTCTAAGAGAAGATCTATTGTTCTTCAATGTAATGAGAAGTTCGTCATTTTCACTAAAGACCTATAAGTCATTAAAAAATATTTCGGTATACAATAGTCACATCCATTGATTTCTCTGGGAATATGTATTTGTATACTCTCCACCATACTATGGAGGGTATATCAACTTTGTCATTCCGTTTGTAACTCCTCCAAATACTCATGTCATATCCAACAAAGTAGATATATTTTTTGATCAGCGTAAAGGTTTAAGTCGTATTAGCGATGTCCGTTTGTCTTTCAAACTAATTGAGATAAAAGTCTAAAATTTTGCACGCATATGTATTTTGTCAGTAGGCAGGTTAAGTTCGTAAACGCGTCTTGTCGATTCCCGATTTCGTATAGCCCCCACATTCCCGTACCTCCTAATGTTCGGTATTTTGATGATTTTTGTGATTTTATCGACGGGAATTATTCAAATTAGAAGATCTTAATGGGTACTACAACCAACCTACAAATTTGCGTATGTAGTTCCACCTCTTTTTATAGCCCCTATATTACGATACCTCCCGATATTCGGTATTTTGATGAGTTTAGCGACCCTATGCTCCGGAATTGTTTCACATTTCGTATTTGAAGTTCGTAATGGATGCTTCAACCTACGGCAGAAAAATGTCTTTGCAAGTCCACGTCTTCGTTTACCCCACATATAAAGCTACCTCTCTTTTTTCCCCGCATTATTCAACGGAATTGCTTTAAATTTCGTATTTGAAGGTCCTAATGGGCCTGTGGCAAAAAATTGCGATTGCGGTTTTCATTTAAACTACATTTTTCGACGATTTTTTTTTAAAGTTTTCCCAGTTCCTCTTAAATGGTGGAGGATATAAAAAGTTCGGTCTGGTCGAACTTCTTGTGTGCTTTTTTACCTGTTCTCCTATTGGTCTTCTATCCTAAGCCATGTTTTGTAGTTTATGAAGGAGAATTTTTCCTATCGTGTGATGTTTCATCAGGAAAATGACTTTTTGGTCTGCAATGAGAATACATTTTGACCTCCATAAGAAAATTGTTTGGTATTGTATGAGACTGAAATATGATATGCATTACTTTAAATTTCTCCTGCTCTTCTTAAGAAGGTCTTACCTTTCTTCAATAAGAATCATGTCCTGGCCTACTTTAGGAATAACTGTTAAGGAAATATGTTATCTGTTAAGGAAATATCTACGGTCTCTAATGTTCTTTTTATACCCCTAGCCATATGGCTAGAGAGGGTATATATCATTTGATACGGCCAAAATGGTCTCTTTGGACCAAAGGCCTCTTTGGATCAAATCCGTTTCAGGAGTCGATTTAGCGATGTCGGTCGGTCCGTCCTCCTGTCTGGCTTGGTCCAAACTTAGTTCATCGTAATATTATTATTAAACTTAGATCTAGTTTGTTGCGGGCCGTTTCAAAAACCAAGTCCGCCCCTGCACTCTAAAAAAAAAATCGGCGTGGAAAGGCCCTAGGGCGAGACCGTTCGCGCCTACGTGGCAGTCTCCAATCCACGGTTTAACTCTAGTTCCCAATTGTCAATAAAGTTGAGAGGGCTAGAGAGAGCTAGGGACGAGTTGGGGGGTATGTTATTGGCACTCTTCGCGGGTAACCATTAAACAATGGTTAGCCATGCCCAGAATTAGTATATTCGTTTGTTTTTGTGTTGTTAGTGGAATTAGTGGAATTATTTTGTAACGGGGACAGCGCCCTCGAATGTTGATATGGCTCATGCGGAGGAAGATGGGCGAACATTAACACGCCTTGTGTTGGCTGGGAATAACTTTTACCGCTGGTTATGTGCAGCCACAGAGGTAGTTATGTCTCACATGGTCCTCCGCACTTGGGTTGAGCCACCTAAAAAGAAGAAAAAGCAAATTAATAAATCGAAGAAATTGAAATAGATAATAAATAGAAAAAAATGAAATCAGTTGATACAAATAATACCACCGCCAGCTCTGTCAAGTAAGGTTCTTCGATTTTGCTTTTTATTCTTATTCGCGACATTGACAAGTTCGGAGATGGACAATATCGGTGGACTCCTTCTAGTACCCACAAAATGCAGATATTTTCAAATAAAATATATTGCTTCTTAGAAAAATAAAGGATAATCCGATTTTGCTTCAACTTTGCAAAATCTTATATTTTCATAACTTCTAGATCAAGTGCGAAAATAGACAATATCGGTTTACTCCATCAATTACCTCTCCCACAAAGGGTCAACATTTTGAATAATTATAACTCTTATAAATTATGATGTAAGAGTTATGTATATCTGAATATTTCTTTTAACCAGAAACCTGAAATGAATATGGAATTTGTGATTTCGCATAAAATTGCATATAAATGTTAGATGTTCCTATAATTTGGCTCATACCAATATTTTTATCAGTATTAGATAAAATGTGAAAATGGAATATTTCCGTAACTCACGTATATTTTAACATCATCTAAAATTATCTGATATCTCATATAAAGTGAAGGAAGTGACCACTATAGTCCAACCCTGGCATATTTATGTAGGACCTAAAGGAAATGGACTATCATTCCTTCAGAACCTACTCCATAGAACAATATTCAACAGTTTGAATAATCATAACAGAAGTCAGAATATATTTAAATAATCAAATATTTTCTTAGGATATACATCTGTCGGCTAAACCGAACGATACTTTTTAATTTCATAATCTTCCGAGTTTTACCTGCAATTATGGAAAAAAATTAATTTTGTCGCACAGTGAAATTAGTATTGGAGACCACAAATCTGTTATCCTTTTTTTTTTTTTAAAGCAGCATCCTTGTTTACTAGAAAAATATACATTTTCATCTTGACCCCATCCTATTTAATCTCCCATTAGTATCATTTTAAATTACCTCCTCATTTCTTTAATTTCTAATCATATCTCTCTTTTTCCCTCAGAAAATGACAAAATGGTTTTTACAACTGCTGGATCTAACCTATCCCATAACGTCAATGTTTTCGGGTAGAGAATTTAATAAGTCGATACGCGAAACATTCGGAGATGTTAGCATTGAAGATTTGTGGATACCCTATTTTACGCTGACCACTGATATTACGGCCAGTTGTCATCGGGTGCATACGAACGGTAAGTCATGTCTCCCTTTTCTTTGTACAGTTATTTATGTTTTCGCTATGTCTTCTTTCACTCCGTTTCTTTTTTTTTTTTGGTTTTTTGTTAACTAAGTTGTACAGCTAAATGTCATTTTGTTGCACCACTTATATGAAACTCAAAACATTTTTTTTTAATTTCAATTTATTTACTTACTTTTCTATGTGGCTATTTCTTCGATTATGAAAGAGGCATCCCTGGTCTTAAATATAATAAAATGCCTGCACCAAAAAGGTCACCCAAAATTGATGCCTTCCTTGTCATTGTGTGCCATATTTGTTTTACCCCCCACTCCACTCCACTCCTCTCACATATATATAATTTTTTGTTATTGTCATTTGCCTCCTTCCATTGGCTAAAAAATATTTTTTTATAAAATACGTTATTTTAAACAATTCGTCTAAAATAAAATCATATTCTGAGATTTTTACATACCTAATCTAAGTATTATTTAGAATGAGAAAAAATAAAATATTCAAATGAGTTTGTTTTTAATTTTAGAATTGAATTTTTAAATTTGAATTCTTAATATATTATGTAATTTTTTAATATTCTTTTGTTAATTTAAGTTTGTTTATGTTTGTTTGTTGGTCAATTGATTGTTTGGTTCGTTGGCTGCTTGGATTAACGATGTAGATGTAATATTTTGTTCCTACAGAATACGATGGTTGCAAATCAATAAGTTGTGTTGAATTTAAATATTTTTTCTCACATTCCAGCTGTATTAGTTTATATATTAAATAAAAATAAATCTGCCCAAAATATGATTGAACGAAGAAAACAAATACAAGTTTGTGATCTTATAAAGAGCATCCCTGACATTTGTCGTATATGATATAGATATTAGATTAGATTAGTTTAGTTTGAAATTATCCCTTATAATATGCGTTTAGTTCTTTGTACAATTAATTCAGTTCGGAAAGTTGATTCCTTCATTTGAAAATGTTTGTGTATTTTCTTTTAAAAGTAATTTTTATAAAATGCGAAAGCCAAATGTGAACCTCATTGGAGCTGGGATAATTTTGTTTGTAAAATGAAGCTATTGCTAGTAACGTAGTTTTCGTTATCATTTATTGTTCATCTTTCATTATAAAAATATGCATAAACTAGTTGCTTTGAGGGTTAGTATACCTCTGATGGTACCTCACTCATAAATGGTTAACATTCTGAAAATTAATCGATTTTTAAATTAAATTTAGGAAATTTTTGTATTTTAATTTAAATTAGTTTTTATCAAAATTTAAACTCTGTCATGTCATTATCATAAGTGGACGAACATAGATGGGCCCTCTTACACTGCAGAAGGAAACTCAGCTCATAATGTTTAGAATATATAGACGAAATTATCTGACCGATTATCATCGAAAAATTTCGATGAATGTCGTTTAAGAGGTTTGAGAGAAAATATTCAAATTTAAAATGTTAAAAATATCCAGACTTATGAAATACTTTTAAGGTGAAAATTATTAGGTAATAAAATGTAGGTGCATATTAGATGACATTAAAAATTCGCCATTAATCCAATGATTTGAAAAACGATTAAATGTGTGTTGAATATACAACAAATTGCTGAGGTCCCCCTGGATAAAAAGTTAAAAACAAACTTTCTGTTGTCCACATATTTATTAGTCTATGGACAAACGTCGAGATAGTTCGTGCGTAGAGCTTTACAAAAAGAGGATGTGCTCAAAATCGAAAGATGTGATGTCTGCCTGAAATAGCCCCCATCCCTAATTTCATATTTTTGGAAAGAGTTACCTTACATATGACTCTAACCACATGTATAATCTAGACTCTAGGGATAGGAACTTAGTCGATCGTTTATTTAATTTATGAAGAGTGTGGAATATCTTAGTGGTCTACAAGAGTTCCCCATGTAACTCTAATTCATAATTTTGGTTTTTTTTTTTAAGTGTCCGCAACAAATGAATTAATTGTAATTTAAAATTAGGGGTTTTTATTTTCCCCAATTTTTTCTCACAAAAATTATATGAGGTTCTGTATTTTTTAATAGTCCACTTCCGAACCAAACTTCGTTTAACTTGTTATATACTCAACCATAGTAAGGGGACATACTGAGTTTGTCATTTCGTTTTAACTCCCCGAAATATCCATTTTAGACTTCACGTAATATATTTTAATTTTTGATGAGCATAAAATGCTACGCCAATTTCGTTAATTTTAGGTTCGTATTAAAAATGTACCATATAGTAATTTAACTTTTTTGGATATATTTCTCACGGTACCGCCAGATTTAAATTATTTATTCGAGGCCAACATGTTGGAAACACACTTGTTAATCCTCTTTAGATAGGACCCAGTCTTGGTGTGGTCGTCATATGTCATGTGCTTCCAATATTCGGTATTTAAATCATTTTAGCCAAATTTGTGAAAGGATCAATATCAATTGATATTCGATATTTTGATAATACTTTAAATTTGGCATTATATTCGCAATAGATAAACATTTTTGTAGTATAAAATTGTCTATATAGGTTCCCGTTTTGGTATGACCCTCATATAACGGCTCCATCCACTTTATTGTGTTCAGAGACTTACAACGAATTTTGACCTTGGACACTATCCCCAAAATGGAAGTATAAATGGAGATAAACAGTAAGAGCTGTAAGCGCATAATTTTCCCTTGTAATATATAAATATCGAATGTAAGTGTCCAAAAACTATAAAACCCTGATATATGATTTACTCAGAGATTTTAGTGAAATTTTATGGAGAATATATCTTTCTTCGATACTTTCTGCATAAAAAATAATTTTATTATGTTAGTTTCAAACATTAACTCCAAAAAAAAACCGACAAAAATCAGTAGGGAAAGGTCAAAAGTCGGGCGGGGCCGATTACACGATACCCTACACCACTATACGTATTTTGCAGAGCTCCCGAAACAAAAAATTTTATATTGGAAATTTATATGAAGTGTATCATACCAACTATGAACCTTATTTGAATGCAAATGATGGCTTTAGAGTATCGTATGAAGATGTATATCGAAGCTACATTAAAATCTGAACAGATCTCAATAAAATTTGGCAGAGGTAATTTCGAGCTGTATCAAATATCATTGTTGTGGAAGACATATTACACATGTAGGGGACTTTAGCACCAAATCGGATGATACATAAATATGGGAGCTACAGCTATATTTGAACCGATTTTCACCAAATTTGAAGTACATGTTTATAGACTGCATTCGGTCGGAAGTATCAAAATTCACAACATTTGGGCTGATATTAGCCATTTGGTGTACAATAAACCTGAAATCGGATCAAGATATGTATGTGTGCTATATCCAAATCTAAATTGATCTTCATAAAATTTTACAGAGGTAAAAAAATCGGAAGAAACATATATACATATAGGGGCTATAGCTATATCTGAACTAATTTTCGCCAAATTCGATGTACTTGTTTCTAGACTGAATTCGATCGGATGTGCCAAAAATCATGTTATTTGGACAGATATTGGACAAATATTATTTGGAAAATTTCATCTCAATGGGATAATAAATGCGAACTGCATTTTGTTCAGAAAAATACATGGACAGACGACTGACATGCATAAATCGACTCAGAAACTGATTCTATGAAGATCCTTAAAAGTAACTTTGGTTCTATCTCGTTTCCTTCTCCATGTTACAAACAAATACACAATGACACAAAGACAAAGCATTTGGAAGTTAGTCACTCACTCCCATTTTAAAATGCCACTTCTGCGACGCTTCTTATACCAATAAATGCGATAGAATGTACATTTACAATAACACAACTACTGTTGTCTACTTTCTATCGTCTTGTTATGATGATTAAGTTTCTAACTGATACTCTTTGCTGCAACACAGGGAAATTTCGCTCAAGAACTGCCATTATTTTGTAAAAATATTTTAGGATTTCAACGAAAATTTAAGAGTCCCCTTTTGTCATTTAAAAAAATAACCTGTTATTTTATTTGTTAAGGCTAGATTACATAAGATGCTAGAGTGACCTTTTCCACAATTGTCTGTAATATTTTTACAGCATACTTTAAGGAGCTCCCATTTCTTTTTAGGTTAAAATTCCTAATAAAAAATCATTTTATATATGACATTAACATCAGTATCTGACCATTGTTTTGATGATATTTTTACTAATTATCGTTGTCGTTATTTTTTGTTTGTTGTTTTGTATTCCAGTTTAGATGTAAAATGTTTCAGGCTCTTTTCCTCTCCCTTTTCGTCGTCGATTTATAAGCCATAAGGATTGTGTTAAGTGTGTATGTGTTTTGTTTTCTATTCCGTTGTGTAATTTGATCCATTTACCACTAGGACAATAGCGAAAAAAGTATTGCTTGACCAAAACGAGAAAGATTAATAAGTTTTTGTAATAATCTATATATATATTTTTTGTATTAGACATCAAATTCAACGTTTTTGTGCCTGTCTCTTTCTATAGTTTTATTATAATTGTGTTTGTTTCTCTCTCTCATTCTCTGTCTTTCCCACAAAAAACGAAAACCCCGCCTCTTTCTATCTATCAATCTTTTTTTACATCCCATACAGGATCTTTGTGGCGTTATGTACGTTCATCCATGTCACTTAGCGGCTACATGCCGCCACTCTGTGATCCCAAAGATGGACATTTGCTATTGGATGGTGGCTATGTAAATAATTTACCAGGTAAATGTTTCTTTGTTTTTGTTTTGTTTCTTGTTGTTGTTGTGTTATTTATTTTCTCTGTAATAAATATAAGAAAATTTGGCTTAAAACAGAGTTCATAGTTTAGACTTAAAATACAATTTAGAAAAAGATGAAGAAAAAAAAAAACAAAAATGCAGTAACGGAAAATTTCCATAAAGATAAAAAAAATCGTTTTTCTTTCCCACCTTTGTTTAAGATTTGCTTTTGGTTTCGTTTTTGAATTGAATACAAAGTATCTTATTTTTGTTTGGATTCTATTTTTTTTGTTAAAGAAGTCCAAAGAAGGAGTAAGGAATTACCAAAACGAGAGTAAGTATGTATTTCAAAACCAAAAAAAAGATCTATTTTCTTTTAGACGATTCTCTTAGTTTGTTTGATTTGTTTGAAGTTTCTTTTTATTATTATTATGATATTATTTATTTTGAAAAATATATAGAATACAAATGTAAAAAACTCAGAATGTGTCAACGAAAATTAAGTTTAATTCTAAACTTCTCCCTACCCCTCCAAAATGTTATAGCAAAAAAACAAACAATAATATTACACATGTTTACAAATATAACTATGATTAAATTCTAATTTGTTTTTTGGAAGATGCTTAATTTTAGTAGAAATAAACGGAATAATATTTTATTCTGAAAAGACTAAAATGCCAAGAAATCTTTGGTCCTTCAAAAAATGTTGTTTTAGAAATCGAAAAAAAAAATATTCTTTTGAGCGGATTTTTGAAGTCCTTAAGAAGCTTTCTTTTTTTACAGTAAAGCTTTTCAAGAGTATATTTATTCTGGATATAATTGTAAAAGCTCCAACAAAATTCCTCTAAAATATTTTCCCAAAATGTTCTTTCTTAACATATCAAGATTTATTGTCGACATAAAGGTCTTCATTTGAAATGAAAAAGTCCTTCAAGAATTTCAGACAATCCACGAAGTAAAGTCGCCCATAAAAAATCCTGGTTTTAAAGTATAAAATTCCTTTGAAAAATGTTCTTACAATCCTTAATTGGTCTTTATGAACAGTCCTCCTAACATCCTCGTTTTGAAGAAGAATTTGCATCCAAATTCTCTACAAAGATCAGAAATTTAAAAAAAAAATTCATCTAAAAAATGTTTTTCATTCAATGTAGATCAAATATATTCTGTAAAACTAAAATATTTAAATCATTTTGCACAGAGATTCAGGGGTTTCAAATGACACATAATTTGTTGAGACCAAATAGTCATTGAAAAATTCAATTTGAAATGCCATTCGTAAAATATACAGGGTGAGATGAAAAAAATGCAACCAACTTCAGGCTGCTCTCATTTCTAAGCCAGTTGTCCGACAGCTGTTAAAATTATTGCAGTGAGAGCTCATTATATTGTTTACAAGCGTACAAAAGCATTTGGGTGAGAATTTTCCAGAAAAAAAGTTATTCGTGATGGAACTGAAGCGTGATAGTGTGATTTCTTTATATTTGGCTGGAAAACTACAAGTCGCTGTCGTTAGAGCACTCCACATTTAAATGTGAATAAATATTTTGTGTCTCGTACCATCGCTCGTTACCATGATACTGGTAGCGTAGCCTGACGTCAAGGAAATGGATGGAAGAAAATAGCAACATCAGCAGAAATGGGTCGGAAAGTAAAGAAGCGACTTGATCGAAACACACGTCGCAGTGGCCGTCGAGCTGAAATGGCTCGTGAGTTGAACATATCGCAATATTCCAAAAAATTGCAAGAACTTATACCGCAATAGAAAGAAAATATACTCAAAAGAGCTAAAGAGTTGCTTCACTTGGCCGAAAGTGGTGATCTGCCGAATTTGGTTTTCTCCGATGAGAAAAGATTCGTTGTCCAGTAGTTTGTAAACAAACAAAATGATCGTGTTTACTTGTCAAAGAGGTCAGCTGAAAATTTGCCATGGTGATGGTGTGGGCTGCCATAACATCCGATGGTCGCTCTCCGCTCGTATTAATCGACCGTGGCATTAGAATAAATGCCGAATATTATCGCGAAAATATTCTGGGGGCTGTATTAAAGCATTGGGCGCAGACCTTGGACATTCCAAAAGAACTCAGTACAATCGCACTCAGCACGCGCCACCCAAGAATGGTGACAAAATAAGATTCCTCGCTTCATTACCAGCGCACAATTGCCAACAAAATCTCCGGGTACCAATCCGTTGGACTATTGTGTCTGGAGATTTTGGAAAGAAAGTTTGGCACTAAAAAGAACCAAAGGTTGGCACTAAAAAACACCTCAAGCAAGCGCTTCGCCGGTATTGAGCCAAAATGCCGCAGATCAATATTCGGGCAACGTGTGACGGTTTCATTGGCCGTTTGAAGGCCATAAATCGTGCCAAAGGTGACCAATTCGAACAAATCTAAACTTATTCTAAAATTTGATGCTATTATCGACATTGAAAAAGAAAAATAAAAATTATGGCGCTTGACTTTGTTGCAGGTTTTTTTATCTCACCCTGTATTCCAAAAATATTTAAATGAGCTTCAGAAATTATTCTTTAAAATCCCTCACCATAATATCGAAATGGCATTAAAAAAATTTAAAAAAATTCCATATTTTTATCGAAAAACAAGTCCTTTTGAAAGTTTTTTTAAACAAATTTTAAAAAAAAAACTTAAAGTTTAAAATCAAAATATATTAAAAAATTCTAAGATTTGTAAATAAAGATAATTCAAATAATATATTTTTTTCGAAAGATGACGATTTGATGTCGAAATGTTTTTTTTTTAGTAAAAAAAATAAGCTTAAGAAAAAATTTTTTTTAATCCTTCGTTCCATGAAGTCGAAGTGACACTTAAAACATTTTTAAAAGTCCCCGATTTTTTATGGAAATACAAGTCCTTTTGAAAATATTAATAAAAAATTATAATTTGAAAACTAAGGTTTAAGAATGCCCAGAAATCTCAAAAATTTGAAGTCCACATTTGTAACAAAAATTCGAGAATACAAAATTAAAAAGGTTTAAAAATTCCATCATTTGAAATTTATATTAAAAGCCCGATTTTAATCGAAATATTATTTGTATTAAAAATGTCCTAAAAATCTCAATATTTGAAGTCAACAAATGCTTAAAAAATTCCAGGATTTTTAATCAAAAATTCCCCTAAAAATTTGTTTTTTAAGTCTATTTAAAAATCCTAAAAATATTCTTTAAAAAAATTAAAATAGAATCCATCTTTAAAATTATTTTAAACAAACTCAAAATACAAAACTCTGTTGGTCGTTAAAACATATTTTTAAAACTGCGATTTGAGCTTGATTGTTGTTTTTTGAAAAGAAAAAAGAAAACAAAACTCTCTATATTATTTCCAAAAACATAGGCATCTTCCATAAAAATCCGATTTAAAAATCACGACAAATAATAATGTTTTGTAAACTTGTGTAATTAATCTTCCGCCCCTTTCGTTTGTCATGTCTTAAAAATAGCACACACACACTCACATATTTAAATATAAAACAAAATAATTTTTAACAATATTTTCAATATTCTTCAATTTTTTTTTATTTTTTTCCTTCGCACAAATATCCTCCCACTATTGCAACAAATATAACTTTTTATTAATATTTTTTAATTTTATATTTTTTCCTGCCAATATTTTCTGGATTGTGGTGTGTTGTTTGTTTGGTTTTTAATCATCTTTCTTTTTAACTTTTCTTCTTTCTTGTAACGTTAACGTTTTTTTGTAATTGTTGCCGTGTCCTTCAAACAAATATATGATTTTTTCTTTTTCACAAATTTTCCACAAAAACACATACATCTATGAAAAAACAACAAATATCAAAAAATCGTACATACACACATCTATAGGTCACTTGTGGCGTTATGTCCGCGCCAGCATGTCCATTGCTGGTGTCTTCCCACCCTTCTGTGACTATAAAGATGGTCATTTGTTACTCGATGGATGTTATACCAATAATGTTCCAGGTAATCTGTTTTTTTTTTGTTTTATTTTGAGTTTTTTTTTAATATTTTATGTTTATTAAATTAAAAAATATATATATAAATAATCAAACATTTTCAATGTGTTATAATTTTTTGTTTGTGAATTTCCGCACTGCATTTTTGTTTTACAAATATTTGTTAGATTATATAAGCATTTGAAATTTATTTTAGATAATTGAGAAAAAATCGTAAGTTAGTTTTAAGAAAATTTTATAATTTAATTATATTATTGATGTATTTTATGCACGTAGTTAACATTATTATAGTATCCTTAAAAAAGAGACATACACAAACATTTTGAAAAAAATTAAAAAGAATGCCCTTAAAACTTATTCCTAAAATCATTTTTAGAATTATTTTTTTTTTAAATCTAAAAAACTGAGTCCAATTCTTTTAAAAATACAATCAAATTTTGAAAATACAATCACATTTTATTTTAGAAAAAAAAATTTAGTACAATACTTAAAAATTTCATACAAAAATATTCTGAACATGTCATATAAATGTATTTGAAAAGCTTTTTTTCGAAAAGTATTTTTTAAAAATCACTATTTGAAATATAAAATCCCTAAAAAATCGACTAATTCGACCTCTGTAATTTTTTGTCCTAGGGTGTAGTACCTTTAGGTCTTTAAATACCAAATTCGAAACAATTCTGGTCTATAATGTCGCTAAAATCATCAAAATAGCGAATATTGGGAGGTACCGATATACGTGGACTATACGAAGACGTGGACCTGAATAGACAATTTTCTGTCATAGGTTGAAATATCCAGTTGAAATATTCCAATACGAAATTCGAAACAAGTCCGGTCGCTCAAATTATTAAAATACCTTATATGGGGGTCATACGAAATTTTTTGTTGTAGGCCTTAGGGTCGCTAAAATCATTAAAATATCGAATATCGGGAGGTACAGTTATTTGGGGGGAATACAAATTTTCTTTTGAGACTTAGAATTTTACACTGATCAAGAAAATATATACTTTGTTGGGGACTATCATTTCGAGGAGTTACATACCGAATGACGAAGTTAATACAGGATGGGATTAAAAAACTGCTACAAAATCAAACGCCATAATTTTTAAATTTTATTGAATGAAATAGCATCAAATGTTAGAATAAGTTTAGATTTGTTCGAATTGATCACCTTTGGTGGTGCTGAGTCCTATTGGAATTTCCAAGGTCTGCGGCCAAAATGTTTGGTATCTTTGATTCAATACTTCACCAAGGTATTTTTTGGTCTTTTTCCATTTCCATTCCACTACTTTTTACTTTATTAAACCTTCAGCCGTATGGCTAGAGAGGGTATATCATTTGATACGGCCAAAAAGTGCCTCAGTAAAATAACGGTTTTAGAACCTATGTCACTTTGGACCAAATCCGTTTCAGGACATTTGGAGCCGATCTAGCGTCCGTCCGTCTGTCTGGCTGGCTGATGCGCATGATAACTCTCGACGGGAGTATCCGCTTTGGTGCAAATTTAGTACATCGTAATATTTTTGTCAAACTTAGGTCGAGTTCGGGAATGGGCAATATCGGTCCACTCCTTCTGGTATCTCCCTCACAATAAGTCGAAATTGTCAAAAAAATATTTTCTGTACAGAAAGTGAAAGGACAATCCGATTGTTCTCCAACTTTCCAAATCCTAATATTTGTATCAGTGCTAGGTCAGGTGCGAAAGTATCGGTCCACTCCATCAAGTACCTCCTCCAAAAAGAGTCAAATTTTGGAATAACTATAACATATAAAATGTGATGTAAGAGTCCGAAAATATCACACATCACAATATTTTAATTAACCTAAGGTCTGGTGTGAAGATGGAATATAATGGTCCACTACTTCTGGTACCGCCTCCAAAATTTTGAATGTTCATGAAGCCTTTAAAAAGCGAAATTAACATCCGATTCCATTCAGACTTGGTACATCCCAATATTTCCATCAACAAAAGATCTGTTATAAAGATTGTAGAGATCGGACCATTCCTTCTCGTACCTTCCCCACAAAGGGTCAAAGTTTTGAATAACCAAAACGAATATAAAATCCGAAATAAGCATCCGGTTCTCTTCATATTTCACACATGCCATTAGTTTTTCTAACACAAGATCTGATGTTAAGATGGGGTAAATCCGTCCACTCTTTCTGGTACCTCCCCTACAAAGGGTCAAAATGTTGAATATCCATGAAGTTCATAAAACGCGGAATTAACATCTGATTCCATTCGGACTTGACACATCTCAATATTTCCTTCAATGCAAGATCTGTTATAATGATGGTAGAGATCGAACCATTTCTTCTGGTACCTCCCCCACAAAGGGTCAAAGTTTTGAAAAACCAAAACGATTATAAAATCCAAAAATTCACACATGCCACAGGTTCAACTAACACAAGATCTGCTTTTTGAATAAGCATGAAGCTCATAAAATGTGAAATTATCATCCGACTCCGTTCCAGACTTGGTACATCTCAATATTTCCATCAATACCAGAACTGTTATGAAAATGGTAGATTTCATCTGGTACCTCTCCCATATAGGGTTCAAGTTTTTGAAAAGCAAAATGCTCAAAAAAGCGGAATAAGCATCCAACTCTCTTCAAATTACACACATACAAACATTTTAGCTAACACAAGATCTCTTGTGAAGATGATATATATCTGCGAACCCCTTCTGGTATCTCACCCACAAAGGGTCACAATTGTCAATAATTTAAGCTGCCGATACTTGCAAAACAAGTCAGCAATGCTTTAGAACTTCCTATATCTAAATATTTCTCTCAACCCAAAACCTGAGATGAATACGGAATTTATGACTTCGCATAAAATTGGATATAAATATTCGATTTTCTTGTAATTTTGTCTATACCAATATTTTTATCAGTATTTAATGAAGCACTAATTCCTTCAGAACCTACCCCATAGTGGGTCAACAACCTTAATAATCAGAACAGAACTCAAAATTTATTTAAATAATCAAACATTGGCTGAAGGTATACATCTGTCGGCAAAACCGACCGATGCTTTTTAACTTGTTATAAAAAATAAAACAAAAATTATTTATTTTTAAAAATTTTAATAAATCTACAAACAAAAAATTTACTTTTAATTCGGCCGATCCTCTGTTCCTAGGTTAGAATATAATGTAAGCTTTTTTAAGTCATTGTATATTTTAGGTATTTTTTTCTGGGACTATGAACTCTGAAATTATTTTTAATTCGACCAAGACTAATAAATTCATACACATTCCCCCACAGCCGATGTTATGCGTAACTTAGGAGCAGCTCACATTATTGCCATTGATGTTGGTTCGCAGGATGACACGGACTTGACAAATTACGGTGATGATTTGTCCGGCTGGTGGTTGCTCTATAAGAAATGGAATCCCTTTACATCGCCAGTGAAAGTACCCGATTTACCAGATATACAATCGAGATTGGCCTACGTCTCATGTGTACGACAATTGGAGGTGAGTGAAAATCGATTTGATTTTAAATATCCGATTTTTTAAACGTTGTCTTCATATTTTAGGAAGTGAAAAACTCCGACTACTGTGAATACATCCGGCCGCCAATTGACAAGTACAAAACCCTGGCCTTTGGCAGTTTCGATGAGATCCGTGATGTGGGTTATGTTTTTGGTAAAAACTATTTCGAAAGCATGGCCAAGGCTGGACGTTTGGGTCGTTTCAATCAATGGTTTAACAAGGAACCGCCGAAAAAGGACAACCACGCATCGTTGAGTGAATATACATTCATTGATTTGGCACAAATCGTTTGTAAAATACCCGATTTGGATCATCCGCTGCACACGATGGACCAGCACCAGCATAACTATTTCTATAGTGAAGATGAAGATTATGATGGGTATATATCGGAACCATCGATATACAATCGGGTGAGTAGTAAACAATAAAACCTTTAACAATATTCGTAATAAATCAACGATTTCAACAATCAGGGCAAGTCTTATATATATGGTCGATCAGTAAGCCTATCTAACTACTAAGTTTGTTGTTAAAATAAAAAATTGTAATTTAAAATTCAAAGAAAGTCAAATTAAATACAACGTTTATTGTCAAAAGTGGTCTTCTTGCCTGACCTTTAATGCTCCTTGAATCAGCGCTTTAATAAAATATAGAAATTTCAAAAGAAAAGTTTTATAAAAAAAATATTTTTCATTAGAATAAGAATCCAACCCCAGGATTCTCAGGCGAACTTGGGAAATCCTTTCAAATAAATAACTCTCTTATTAAAATATCTAAAAATCCCTATTATTTATAAGATCCATGATATTTAATACCGAAACTCAAATATTGTTGAAAAAATTCAAAATTAGGCATATTTTTTATAGCCCACACCACAAGGAGGTCAGGGTATTATGCCTTTGTGCATTTGTTTGTAACAGGCAAAAGGAAATGAGATAGACCCATAGTTCCTTTTGATGATCTGCCTAGAATCACAATCTGAGTCGATTTATGTATGTCCGTCCATGTTGTCTGAACGGCTGTTCATGTATTTTTGTAAACAAAGTCGCATTTACAGGATGAGATGAAAAAAATTCAACCAACTTCAGACTGCTGTCATTGTTAAGCCACTCGTCCGACAGTTCGTAAAATTGTTTCAGTGATAGCTCATTATATTGTTTACAAGCGTACAAAAGCATTTTGGTGAGAATTTTTCAGAAAAAAAGTTATTCATGTTGGAATTCAAGCTTGATAGTGTGATTTCTTTATATTTGACTGGAAAACCACCGTAAGTGGCTATCGTTAGAGCACTCCAGCATTTAAATGTGAACAAATCTTTTGTGTCTCGTACCATCGCTGAAATGCTGAAATGGCTCGTGAGCTGAACACATCGCAATATTCCATTCCGCAAATATTGAAAAATGAGCTCGGGATAAAGCCATTGAAATTCGAAGAAGTGCAAGAACTTGCACCGCAACAGAAAGAAAATAGACTCAAAAGAGCTAAAGAGTTGCTTCGCTTGGCCGAAAGATGTGAACTGCCGAATTTGGTTTTCTCCGTCTCCGATGAGAAGACATTCGTTGTCCAGCAGTTTGTAAACAAACAAAATGATCGTGTTTACTTGTCAAAAAAGAGGTCTGCTGAAAAAGTGCACCTTCGGTTGGCCACCAGAACTCATGCACCGGCCATGGTGATGGTGTGGGCCGCCATAACAGCCGATGATCGCTCTCCGCTCGTATTTATCAACCGTGGCATCAGAATAAATGCCGAATATTATCGCGAAAATATTCTGGAGACCTTGGGCACGCAAACATTTTGGCCGCAGACCTTGGACATTCCATTCCATCGCACTCAGCATGCGCCACCCAAGAATGGTTACAAAATGAGGTTTATCGCCCATTTCCAGCGCAAAATGGCCACCAAAAACTCCGGATACCAATCCGTTGGACTATTGTGTCTGGAGTAGTTTGGAAAGCAATGTTGGCACTAAAAGATACCAAAGCGTCGATCACCTCAAGCGAGCGCTTAGCCGGGAATGGGCCAAAATACCGCAGAGCAACATTCGGGCAGCGTGTGACGATTTCATTGGCCCTTTGAAGGCCATAATTCGTGCCAAAGGTGGCCAATTCGAACAAATCTAAACATTCTAAAATTTTTGTTTACAAACTGCTGGCCAACGAATGTTTTCTCATCGGAGAAAACCAAATTCCGCAGTTCACCACTTTCGGCCAAGCGAAACAACTCTTTAGCTTTTTTAAGTCTATTTTCTTTCTGTTGCGGTGTAAGTTCTTGCACTTTTTGGAATTTTAATGGCTTTACCACGAGCTCATTTTTCCATATTTACCGAATGGAATATTGCGATATGTTCAGCTCACGAGCCATTTTTCGGCCATTGCGACGCGGCTTTCGATCAAGTCGCTTCTTTACTTTTCGACCCATTTTTTCCATTTTCTTCCGGTTTTGGTTTCTTCCGTCCTTGACGTTGGGCTACGCTACCAGTATCACGGAAACGAGTGATGGCACAAACGATTTATTCGCATTTAAATGCTGGAGTGCTCTAACGATAGCCTTTTGTGGTGGTTTTCCAGCCAAATATAAAGAAATCACACTATCACGCTTGAGTTCCATTACGAATAAGTTTTTTTTTTCTGGAAAATTCTCACAAAAATGCTTTTGTACGCTTGTAAACTATATAATGAGCTGTCACTGGATTAATTTTAACAGCTGTCGGACGAGTGGCTTAGAAATGACAGCAGTCTGATGTTGGTTGCAGTTTTTTCATCTCACCCTGTATTAAAAAAATATATTTTTTGGAATTCCAATTTACAAAGTCAATTTAACTCCAAATATACAAAAAAATAAAATTTATTCTTCTCTGTCAGTCTCTCTATAGATCCTCTCTTAAAATAACCTTTATAAGCCTTTCCAAACCTGCAATTTCAATTTTTTTTATTATTCTATTTTTCTAATATCCCCCTTTATTTCTTTCTCTCCCATCCCCTCGTTACAGAATCAAATCAAAATGAAACGCACCGGCACCTCATTGTCCCTGTCGGAAAATGAAATGGATTCCGATATTGAAGTTGATCTCAGTTTGGCCATAAGACAGCATCAAAATCTTAAGACACGTAGCTCGCCACAGACACCCGTTAACTTGCCATGCTCACTGTCCAACATTGATAACATCGATGGTAGGCAAAATAATGTTAGTGTTGCCCCAACGCCCGAAGATGATGGCGGTATGACGATGCAAATGCGTTACAAGTCTCTGGACAATATGTCAACGAATACAACAACGCCAAAACAAATAAACCCACAACTGGGTGGTGATGATAATAATGGCAATGAAGAAAATGCCGATAGCAACAAATTAAGCACCGAAGACGACAATAGCAGCAGCAACAAAACCAATACCAACAACAGCACAACTACCAAAGCTAAGACATCATAACGCTTAGTTTTAAATTTTTAGATTTTATTAAAAAAAATCCTTTTTTTGTATTTTTGGTTTTGTATTTTTAAGATGCCCCTTTCTAAAAACACACACATAATCATGAAACCCACCACCCACTCTTCTCAGCCACCACATTTTAGTTTTAAGGTCACAGATTTTTTTCCGAAAAGAGACTGGCAAGTTTTCACTACCCACTTTCATTGTTACTTCAGAGAGTGTTTTTCTTTGGTCTCATTTTGTGGTCTGGAGGATTGTTGGCTTTAGCAAAATCAAAGACATGCCAACAAAAAAATCACTCAAGATCACAAAGACTTGTGTTTTTGTACTGAATAATAAAAACTTTTTTTTGTATATCTCTTCCACAAGAATTGCCATTATTTACAAAATGAAAAATTTAAAAAAAAATTGTTGAACGATTTTCAAAGAGTTTGCTCTATGCTCCCCACTCAAAAAAAAAAAAAAAAAAAAAAAAATCATGTCTACTAGTTTTGTAAGCTTTCTTTACTTATCCAATAAGCGTTCCAAATTGTTCGCCTTACTTTTTTTTTAGTTTAAAACTTCCCCTGCGTTTAGAGGTCATTTTAGTTTGTAAGAAATTGTTAGAGTTTTCCCCCTTTTCTTTCTATCCCCCTACTTCACCGTTTTTGCTTTTTTTATACTCTGTACATAAGAATTGTTATATAAAAAACAACAACAATAATGCACAAGATATTAGTAATATATATTTTTTAAAACAAAAAAGAATGGAATTGGGAAAAGGAGGATAGAAAACCGTTTAGCCAACATTACAAACAAGTTCTTTCTTAAGTAGTTTAAGCTACAAATTACTTATTAATTATAAACAAATAAATGATAAATAATAAAAAAAGAAATGAAAAATTATTTTCAAATAGGAATTATTTAAAAAAAGGATATTGAAACTTTTTTGAACTTATATTATTTATTATATATTACAAGTGAACATTTTGTGTTTGCTTTTTTATTACTAATTTGACACATTTCCATACCAAGTCGAAATCTTCCCTAATAGTTTATTTTTTGAGAAAGGTGTCAAAAGAAGAAATATTCTATATCTAATATGTTAAAAAAAATTACATCATTTATAAATTTCATAAAAATCTAAAAATTTTTCCGAATTTAACGCGAATTTTTTTAAAGTGTAATTTTTTAAGGATTTTAGAATTTCCTACTCACCAGATTAACTTTTGCCCAGCGCAATTAAAAGAAATCTTGCAGAAATGCAGACATTTTGCGAAAAACTTGTAATTCTACGAAAATAGAATAGGTAATTTTGAAATTAAAATGTAAAATTTTTATGGTATATATTGAGTATTTACTTTTCTTTTATTCAGAGACTCCCGATAAAATTTGATCTAGAATATTTCTTCCTTTGACATTATCCCCAAAAAATCAAGTATTAAGGTAGTTTTTGACTTAAAATGAAAACGTCTTAAATAAGCAGTCAAAAACGTAAACACTTTTAATAACACTATAAATCTCGAATATAATTTTTTTAAAAACTATTACACCTAGATATATGGTTTATATATAGTGAAATTTTGTGTAGAATATTTCTTCTTTTGTCACCCTCTGTCTGAAACGTTTTTAGTTTAGTTTTTAATTTTAAATCTTTCCAAATCTAGAAGAATTTTGAGAAAACTAACTAACAAAAACATACAAAAATAATTTTAATTTTAACAAACTTTTTGGCAGCCATCAGAGTCTCTAATCGAAGGCCCGTTTACATTTAATTTTGTAGCAATGGATTTCCAATCTGATTTTAAATTAGTTGGAACATGACCTTTGGTACACCCTTTTGCCCAGCATAGGTTTTTTTTCCAATTCGGAAACCAACATTTCAAATTGTTTTGCTGTTGTTATTTTCATGGTCAAATATCAAATACAAGATGCTTACAATATCAACGTCGACTAAAAAATACAATGTCGTCACAATTTTTTACGGCGACAGATATTCTCAAAAATCGACTTATATTATCGACTGATAATAGCAATAATTTGTCGCTATCGACAAAAAAAAGACAAGCCTAATATCATTATTGTCGTCTCGAATTTATTTTGCGACGACAACTGTAAATGAGCTGAATATTTGTTTGGCCCAACGACGAATTCTATTGAAATTGGTGAGAATCTGTTCAAATTTAGATATAGCGCCGGGTTAATTGTGCACCAAATCACCAATATCAGTTCAAATGACCTGAATTTTGGCACATCCTTCCTAATTCAGTTTAGAAGCAAGTACATTCAATTTGGAGAAAATCGGTTCAGATATGGCTATAGCTCCCATATATAGGTTTCATCCGATTTGGTGTATTAAGTCCCTCACATGCGTAATATGCACTCCACAACAATAACGTTTGATACCGGACATCAGATACTGCCCGAAAATACCTCTGACAGATTTTTATAAGGCTTTGATATACCTCTTCATCGGATTTTACGGTTATTGCTCAACATACAGGGTGGGATAAAAAAAACGCCACACTTTTTAAATTTTATTGAATGAAAGCAAAAAATGTCGGAAATAGAATCAAATTGTAGAATAAGTTTAGATTTATTCGAATCGGTCACCTTTGGCACGAATTATGGCCTTCAAACGGTCAATGAAACCGTCAAACGCTGACCCAATGTTACTCTGCGGTATTTTGGCCCATTCCCGGCGAAGCGCTTGTGATCGACACTTTGGCATTTTTTGCGTCAACCTTGCTTTCCAAAATCCTGCAGACACAATAGTCCAACGGATTGGTATCCGGAGATTTTGGTGACCATCGTGCGCTGGAAATTAAGCGTTGAACCCCATTTTTTAATCATTCTTGGGTGGCGAGTGGTGAGTGCGATTGTGATGAGTTCTGTTGGAATGTCCAAGGTCTGCGGCTAAAATGTTTGCCTGTCCAAGGCTTTAATACACCCTCCAGAATATTTTCGCGATAATATTCTGCATTTATTCTGATGCCACGGTCGATTAATACGATCGGAGAGCAGCCATCGGCAGTTATGGCGTTATGGCCCACATCATCACCATGGTCGGCGCTTAAGTTCTGGTGGCCAACCGAAGGTGCACATTTTCAGATGACCTCTTTGGCAGGTAAACACGATTTTTTTTTGCTTACAAACTGCTGGACAACGAATGTTTTCCTATCGGAGAACCAAACCAAATTCGACAGTTCACCACTTTCGGCCAAGCGAAGCGAACTCTTTAGCTCTTTTTGAGTCTATTTTCTTTCTGTTGCGGTGTAAGTTCTTGCACTTTTTGGAATTTCAATGGCTTTACGCCGAGCTCATTTTTCAATATTTGCCGAATGGAATATTGCGATATGTTCAGCTCACGAGCCATTTCAGTTCGTTGGCCACTGCGACGCGAGATTCGATCAAGTCGCTTCTTTACTTTTCGAACAATTTCTGCTGATGTTGCTGTTTTCTTCCGTCTACTTCCTTGACGTCGGGCTACGCCACCAGTATCACGGTAACGAGCGATGGTACGACACACAAAAAATGTATTCACATTTAAATGCTGGAGTGCTCCAACGATAACCACTTGTGGTTTTCCAGCCAAATGTAAAGAAATCACACCATCACCCTTGAATTCCATCACGAATGACTAACTTTTGTTTTCTGGAAAAGTCTCACCAAAATGCTTTTGTATGCTTGTAAACAATATAATGAACTGTCACTGGAACAATTTTAAAAGCTGTCGGACGAGTGGCTTAGAAATGACAGCAATCTGAAGTTGGTTGCAGTTTTCTCATCTCACCCTGTATATGAATTCCTGGCGTTTAGGTAAGATTTAGACTTTTGATGTCTTCTAGGACCCATAGTAGAATTTTATGACAAATAATTTTTTAGAATTTTTTGACTTGCTATGATCCCCGTTTAAAGGGAGGCAGAATATTTTTTTTTTAAATAAGCATGTCATTGAATTTTAAATTTTAACATTTTATTTACAATTAAAGATATTTTACAAAATCTCCATATTAATTGTACAATTTTAATTTTTTTTATTCATATTTTTTTTTTTTAATTTTTTCTTTTTAAAATTTTCCACATTTCAGTGTAGTAGAATATAAGTGTTGATCTCCCCCTCCCGCAGAAGATTTGTGTGCGAATCCATTAAATCGTTGCCGTATTTTTTTTTTTTTTTTTTTTTGAAAACAAAATAAACAAAAATTAATTCAGTTTTAAAATAAATCAATTTTTAATTTCTATTTATTTTGTTGTTCATCCATTGAGGTCGTGTCGTGTCCAGTGGTTTTCGTTTTTATCGCCTAAGAACAGAAACAACCGGCTGTCACCGTCACAGTTTTGAATTTCCATATCTGTCGTAAATCATCGGGTAGCCAGGCGAGAGTTAGGTCCTTTTGCATATTATCCATAAGAGTGCGAAAGGTCAACACCTTCACTTTATATTCCAAGGGACGGCAGACGGAACCACTCCAACATTTGGCTGCCAGTTCATCGGTTTGACACACGGCGTTGAGGAGATAGCGTGGAAAGTGCTGTTGGCCCAAGTCCACTAAATCGTTCTAGGAGGGGAGGAGAGAGAAAGAAAAAAATATTAGAAACTGATATGAAATATTTTTAACGATTTTAAAAAAGTAAACAATTTAGAAAGGGTATCTGCAATAATATTAAATATAAAAAAATGCCAAAAAGTATGAGTCGGTTTTGCCGATTTTGCCAGCCAATGTCCGTTTATATCAATATATTTTGACTTGCGCTATGATTATTCAAACTGTTGACCCTTTATTGTGGGTGGGGTACTAGAAGGAGTAGATCGATACTAAGGATGATAATAATATTACGATTACGAAGGTTGGACAAAATCGAATACTTCCTTTGAAAGGTATCAGGCGTACTATCTCTGATTTAAAAATTATACAGGATGAGATGAAAAAAACTGCAACCAAATTCAGACTGCGATCATTTCTAAGCCACTCGTCCGACAGCTATTAAAATTATTCCAGTGACAGCTCATTATATTGTTTACAAGCGTACAAAAGCATTTTGGTGAGAATTTTTCAGAAAAAAAGTTATTCGTGATGGAATTCATGGGTGATAGTGTGATTTCTTTATATTTGTCTGGAAAACCACCACAAGTGGCTATCGTCCAGCATTTAAATGTAAATAAATCTTTTGTGTCTCGTACCACCGCTCGTTACCGTGATACTGGTAGCATAGCCCGACGTCAAGGAAGTGGGCGGAAGAAAACAGCAACATCAGTAGAAATGGTTTGAAAAGTAAAGAAGTGACTTGATCGAAACCCCCATCGCAGTGGCCGAAAAATGGCTCGTGAGCTGAACATATCGCATCGCAATATTCCATTCGGCAAATATTGAAAAATGAGCTCGAGGTAAAGCCATTGCAATTCCAAAAAGTGCAAGAACCTACACCGCAACAGAAAGAAAACAGACTCAAAAGAGCTAAAGAGTTGCTTCGCTTGGCCCAAAGTGGTGAACTGCCGAATTTGGTTTGGTTCCCCAATGAGAAAACATTCGTTGTTCAGCAGTTTTTTAACAAACAAAATGATCGCGTTTACTTGCCAAAGAGGTCAGCTGAAAATGTGCACCTTCGGTTGTCCACCAGAACTCAAGTGCCGACCATGATTATGGTGTGGGCTGCCATAACAGCCGATATTCGCTCTCCGCTCGTATTAATCGATCGTGGCATCAGAATAAATGCCGAATATTATCGCGAAAATATTCTTGGGGAGGGTGTATTAAAGCCTTGGGCACGCAAACATTTTGGCCGCATACCTTGGACATTCCAACAGGACTCAGCACCATCGCACTCAGCACGGGCCACCCATGAATGGTTACAAAATGAGATTCCTCGCTTCATTTCCAGTGCACAATGGCCATCAAAACCTCCTGATACCAATCCTTTGGACTATTGTGTCTGGAGTATTTTGGAAAGTAAGGTTGGCACTAAAAAATACCAAAGTGTCGATTACCTCAAGCAAACCCTTCGCCGGGAATGGTTCAGAGTAACATTCGGGCAGCGTGTGACGGTTTCATTGGCCGTTTGAAGGCCATAATTCGTGCCAAAGGTGACTAATTCGAACAAATCTAAACTTATTCTAAAACTTGATGCTATTTCCGACATTTTTTGCTTTCATTCAATAAAATTTAAAAAAAATGTAAAAATGATGGCGTTTGACTTTGTTGCAGTTTTTTTATCTCACCCTATATATACCCTCTGAAGCTTGTATGGGTTAGAGTATAAAAATCCTCGTTGATAGTCCCTGAGAAAATAATTTAAAAAAATCGACAAGGACTTCCTAGTCCTTGAGAAAAAAAATTTAAAAATCGCCAATTTCAAATTGACCTTGACAAAATAATTTTAGAAAATCAAAAATTTTAAGTGGTCCTTGAAAAAAAAAAATAGGAAATCCTTCACGTTTATAGATAGTACTTGAGCAAATAATTTAAAAAATCCCTAATTATAAATATTCCTTGGGAAGATAATTTTTGAAAATCCTTGACGTTTATACATAGTCCTTGTGAATATAATTAAAAGAATCTCTGATTATAGATAGTACTTGAGAAAATAATTTAAAAAAAATCCAGGACTATTTGTAGTCTTAAAAAAAACTACGAAAAAAATAATTAAAAAAATCTGCATGTCCTAAAATCGATTGTCCTTGAGAAATTCAAAATTTTTATGTATTGAGTCCTTGACCAAATAACTCAAAAATCTCTGATTATGGATAGTCCTTGAGATTGTATATATATATTGTATATATAGTCTTTGTGAATATAGTTTGAAAAAATCCTCGTTGCTGATAGTCTTTGACAAAATATTTTCAAAAATTCACGTTTCTAGAAAGTCCTTGAGAACATAATTTTAAAAATCGTCGATTACTGTCCTTGATAAAATTAATTTTAGAAAACCAAAATTTTTTTGGTAGTCCTTGAGGAAATAATTGAGGAAAATCCACGTTTGTAGATTGTCCATGAGAAAATATTTTTAGAAAATCCTACACGTTTATAGATAGTCCTTGAAAAAAATAATTTAAAAAAAATCAGGATTATATATACCCTTGAAGAATATAGTTTGAAAAAATCCACGTTTTGGATAGTCCTTGACAAAATAATTTAAAAATTCCACGTTTAGAGAAAGTCCTTTAAAAATAAAAAAAATTCGAGGATTTTTGATCTTCCTTGAGAAAATAATTTTGGTTAATAAAAATTTTTTTACGTAGACCTTAAAAAATAATTAAATCCTCGTTTTGGATAGTCCTTAACAAATTAATTTAAAAATTCCACGTTTAGAGGAAGTCCTTTATAAAATAAGTTAAAAATTCGACCATTGTCCTTGAGAAAATAATTTTGGAAAATCAAAATTTTTAAGTTGTCCTTGAGAAAATTATTGAGAAAAATTCACGTTTATAGATAGCCATAGAGCAAATAATTTTAAAAAATCTTTCACTTTTTTGATAGTCCTTGAGCAAATAATTTAAAAAATTCAGAATTATTTGTAGTTTTTGAAATTATAGTTTGAACAAATCCACGTTTTTGATAGTCCTTGAGAAAAGTTTTTCAAAAAGCTAAGTTTATACTTAGCCCTCGAGAAAATACTTGAGAAAAATCCTGTGTTTTTGATAGTCCTTGAGAAAATAATTTTGGAAAATCAAAATTTGTGGTAGTTCTTGAGAAAATAATGATAGAAAATCCTTCGCGTTTCTAGACAATTCTTTACAATATAATTTAAGAAAATTCCCGTTTCTAGAAAGTTCTTGAGATTATAATTTTAAAAATCGATGATTATTGATTGTCCTTGATAAAATTATTTTTGGAAATCAAAAATTTTTAGTTAGTCCTTGAGGAAATTGTTGAGAAAAATGTATAGTCCTTTAGAAAATATTTACAAAAATTCACGTTTAAAGATAGTCCTCGAGAAAAAAAATTAAATAATAATTTAATACAATAATAAAATAATTAAAAATGTCTCTATTTAAGATAGTCCTTGAAAAAATAATTAAGAAAAATTCGTGATCATGGAAAAAAATTTTTAAAAAATTTAAAAAAATTTAAAAAATCCACGATTATAGAGAGTCCTTGAGAAAATAATTTAGAAAAATCCACGGTTGTAGGTAGTCCTTGTAAAAAGTGACCTCCATCTCCTCTCGTGAAATCATGCCCCCCCTTAAACTCACCTTAATTTTACAATCACAACCCCGGGCGGGTGGTGTACCCAAAGGTGTGCCAATGGCATTACCATTTCGCTTCATATCCATTTCTTTGTTCGAATCCGCAACCAGGTCATTATAGAAATCCTCGAAATTGGCCACTGGCAAGGCTGATAATTTGGGAGCCAAAAAATCACTAGACAGACCCTCACCTTCCAAATCCATGGCATTCGCCGGTTCGTCGAAAATATTATGACCTTGAGATTTAAACGGGGAGGGAACCTCTTTAAATATGGGCATATTTTCATTCAAATCTTTGTCGGAATACAATTCCTCCTGTAGACGTTCATTTTCACAGTTGACAAAATCCCGTTCAGGTTTTAAAAAATCCAACCATTGATCCTGGCAATTTGATTTGCTTTGATATTGCAGAGGTTTGCCCAGTGAGTCATCGTGGAATTTAGGTGCGAAATCCAAAAAGTCGTTGACATTATTTGAGATTGATGGCGGCTTATAGGAATCCCTGGAATCGGCATAAATTCCTGGTGCCGAAAGCACCGACGATGAGCTAGAGCCAGAGTGTCCTGTTATGCTACGTATCAAATGTTTGTCCATCAAACGATTGCCACAGATAACACTAAACAAAATGGTGGCCAGTACCAAAGTTGTCTGGCGAAGGAGAAAGGGGAAAATGGGTAATTTATTTATTTTTCACTTTTTTTTTAATTTTTTTAAAAACACTTTCACAATTTGTTTTTTTTTCACACTTTTCTCACCCAAGGCATTTTATTTTTTTGTTTCGTTTCGATACTTCTGGTCACACTTTAGTACACCAACTGACAGCTGGCTAATTTGGACTTGGCTTTTATAGCCATTTCGGCCACTAAGAGTTCCATTGTTTTCACCAGAACACGCTTCGATTAGACGGGCATCGAATTTCCTTTTGTTCCACCTGGAGTCTGGATGATGGAAGGATATTTCAATTATCAATGGTGGTGTATATGAATATGTAGCTCAGCAATCCTTTTGTTGTGTTGCAGGGATGTCACTTAATGGGTTAATGAAGCGACGTCATATCTTGTCGCCTGGCAATGAATGAAAATGGATGGCATTCATTTTTGAGATTTGGAACATATTATGGGAGAGGAAGGTGAGGCAGACATATAAGGATGATATATACCATGCATTTTTAAACGTGGAATTTTTAAAATGATTTCCTTAAGGACTATCTATAAACGTAGATTTTTTGAAATTTTTTCCTCAAAAACTATCTATAAACCTGGATTTTTTTTAAAATAATTCCTCAAGGATTTTCTATACACGTGGAATTATTAAAATTATTTCCTCAAGGATTATCTATAAACGTGATTTTTTTGAAAATGATTTCCTCATGGACTATCTATAAACGTAAATTTTTTGAATATTTTTCTGTAAACTTGAATTAAAAAAAAAATTCACAAGGAGCATCTACAAACGTTTTTTTTTAAATTATGTTCTCAAGGAACATCTATAAACGTGGATTTTTTAAAATAATTTCCTCAATGACTAAAGGTAAACGTGGATTTTTTAAAATAATTTCCTCAATGACTAAAGGTAAACGTGGGTTTTTTAAAACAATTTCCTCAATGACTAAAGGTAAACGTGGATTTTTTAAAATAATTTCCTCAATGACTAAAGATAAACGTGGATTTTTTAAAATAATTTCCTCAATGACTTAAGGTAAACGTGGATTTTTTAAAATAATTTCCTCAATGACTTAAGGTAAACGTGGATTTTTTAAAACAATTTCCTCAATGACTAAAGGTAAACGTGGATTTTTTAAAATAATTTCCTCAATGACTAAAGGTAAACGTGGATTTTTAAAAATTATTCTCTCAAGGACTATCGGAAAACGTGGATTTTTAAAAATTTTTCTCTCAAGGACTATCGGAAAACGTGGATTTTTAAAAATTATTCTCTCAATGACTATCGGAAAACGTGGATTTTTAAAAATTATTCTCTCAAGGACTATCGGAAAACGTGGATTTTTAAAAATTATTCCCTCAAAGACTATTTATAAATGTGGAATTTTTTAAATAGTTTTTGAAAATTATTTACTCAAGGATTTCTTAACATTATTTTCTCAAGGACTATTTTATACGTGGATTTTTTACATTTTTTTCCTCAGCGACTATTTATAAACATGGATTTTTTTAAATTTATTTCCTCAAGGACTATCTATAAACGTGGATTTTTTGAAAATTATTTCCTCATAGACTATCTGTAAACGAGAATTTTTTAAATTTATTTCCTCAAGGATTATCTATAAACGTGGATTTTTTATTTAAATTATTTCCTCAAGGACTTTTTACAAATGTGGATTTTTTGACAATTATTTCCTGAGGGACTATCAACAAAAAAATTATTTCCTGAGGGACTATCTACAAAATATTATTTCCTCAAGGACTATCTATAAACGTGGACTTATTGCCATTTATTTCCTCAAAGACGATCTACAAAAATTATTTCCTCAAGGACTATCTACAAACATGATTTTTTTCAATTATTTCCCCAAGTATTATTTATAAACGTGGAATTTTGAAAAATATTTTCTCAAGGACTATATATAAACGTGGATTTTTTGAAAATTAATTCTCATAAGGACTATATGTAAACGAGGATTTTTTGAAAATTATTTCCTCAAGTACTATCTACAACTTGAGTTTCTTAATTATTTCCTCAAGGACTATCTATAAACGTGGAATTTTTAAAATTATTTCCTTAAGGACTATTTAAAACCGTGGATTATTATTTAAATAATTTTCTCGAGGACTATCTATGAACGTGGATATTTTGAAAATTATTTCTTCAAAGACTATCTATACACGTTGATTTTTTAAAAATTATTTCCTCAAGGACTATCTCTTAACCTGTTTTTTTAATTACATTATCAAGGACTATCCATAAATGTGAATTTTTTTGAAAATAATTTTAAATTAAAAAAAAAATGGATTTTTTGCAATTATTTTTCTACAAACGAGGATTCCTTAAACATTCCCTTAAGGAATATCTATAAAGGTATTTTTTTAAAATTATTTCCTCATGGACTTTCTATTAAGGTGGATTTTTTTTGAAAACTTATTTTCTCAGGGACTATCTATGAACGTGAATTTATTGAGAATTATTTCCTTAAATACAATCTTTAAACTTGGATTTTTTAAATTATTTCTTCAAGGACTATCTATAAACGTTGTTTTTTTTTAAATATTTCCTCAAGGACTATCTGTAAACCTGAATTTTTTCAAAATTATTTTCTCAAAGACTATCTATAAACGTGGATTATTTTCAATTATTTCCTCAAGGACTACTTATAAACGTGGAATTTTGAAAAATATTTTCTCAAGGAAAATATAAAAACTTTTTTTTTTTTTTTTTTTTTTTGAAAATTATTTCCTCAAGGACTGTCTATAACATGGATATTTTTAATTTTTTTTCCTCAATGAACATTATTTTCTCCTATAAATAAGGGTTGTTTTAAAAATATTTTCTCAAGGACTATATATAAACGTTGATTTTTTTAAAAATATTTCCTCAAGGACTAACATGATTTTTTTTTTAATTTTTTCCTTAAAGAAAATATTTGAAGGTCAAGGACTTGGATTTTTAAATTTATTTTCTCAAGGACTTATACCCTCAACCATAGAGAGAGAGGGTATATATCATTTGATAAGGCCTAAACGTGACTCATCGAAATAAGGGTTTTAGATCTTTAGGTCTTTGAACCAAATCCATTTTTAAGTCATTTGGAGTCGATCTGGAGATGTCCGCCTGTCTGTCTGATTGGCTGGTGCGCACGATAACTCTTGAAGGGAGTATTCGATTTGGTCCAAACTTGGCACATAGTGATATTATTATCAAACTTAGATTTAGTTGGGATGTGGGCAATGTTGGTCCACTCCTTCTGGCACCTCCCCCATAAAAGGTCATTACTTTCACAGAGAATAATTTAAGAAAGAATCATAAAATTTTGTGCAAACTTAGCAAATCCCAATATTTTTGTTAGTATCAGGTTAGATGGGAAAATAGACAAATCCGGTCAACTGCCTCCCCAAAAAAGGGACAAAATTTTGAATAATCTTAACGCTTATAAAATGCGAAAAAAACGAGTCCGATTGTTTCACATCACAATATTTTTATTAACCCAAGGTCTGATGGAATATATCTGGTGAAGGTGAAGATGGAATAGATCTGCCCACTCTTTCTGGTACCTCCCACGCAACGGAGTCAACATTTTGAATAACCCAAACGCTCATAAAATGCGGAATGAGCACCCGATCCTTTTTAAATTTCACACATTTCAATATTTTTATTAACACAAGATCGAATAGAGAAGATGGGATATATCGGCCCACACCTTCAGGCACCTTCCCCACAAAGGTTTCAAAATTTTGAATAACCAAAACGCTCAAAAATTGCGAAATGAGCATCCGATTCTCTTCAAATTTCGCACATCCCAATATTTCAACCGACACAAGATCTGCTGTGAAAATGGGTTGTATTGGTCTACCCTCCCACACAAAGGGGTCAAAATTTTGAATAATTATAACTCTCACAATATGCGAAATAAGTATTTGAGCCTTTCTAAAATTCAAACATTCCAGCATTTCTACGAACTGAAGTAAAGATGGTAGAGATCGGCCAACCCCTTTTGGTAGCTCCCCCACAAAGGGGTCAAAATTTCGAGTAGCCAAAATGTTCATAAAATCCTTCATAAGCTACCGATTCTCTTTGTATTGTACACATCCAAATATTTTTACTATCTCCAGATCTGGTGTGAAGATGGTAAATATCGGTTTACTCCTTCTGGTACCTCCCACACAAAGGGGTAAAAATTTTGAATAACCAAAACGGTTATAAAAACCTAAATAGGTTCCCGATTCTCTTCAAATTCCACTGATTTTAATATTTTTAATAACACAAGATCTGGTGTAAAAATGGTCCACCCGTTCTGGTACCTCCAACATAAAAGGGTTAAAATTTTGAATTATTATAACTCCCATAAAATGCGAAGTAAGCATTCGATCCATTCTAAACTTTATGCATTCCAATATTTCTACTAAATCAAGATCTGGTGTGAGGATGGGATATATCGGCCAACTCCTTCTGGTATCTCCCCCACAAAGGGGTTAAAATTATGAATAATCAAAACGCTCATAAAATTCTAAATAAGCACCCGATTCTCGTCAAATTTCACACATTTCAATATTTCTACTTATACCAGATCTGGTGTGAAGATGATAGGTATCGGCCCACTCTTTCTGGTAGCCCCCCCCCCCCCCACAAATGGGGTCACAATTTTGAATAACCAAAATGCTCATAAAATGCGAAATAAGCATACGATTCCTTTTTTATTCGGCACATCCTAATATTTTTATCAGCACAAGATCTGCTGTAAAGATGGTAGATAAAGGCGCACCCCTTCTGGTACCTCCGCCACAAAAGGGTCATAATTTTCAATTTCGTATATCTTTCATAAATTGCGAAACCAGTCGCCGATTCTCTTCAAACTTAGTATACCTAAATTCTTCTCTCAACCAGAGGTCTGATGTGAATGTGAAATTTATCCACTTATCCACTAAAAATGAAATTTTTGATTAACAATTCTTCACTTAAATTTAGAAATACATTTCAATTTTCTTCAAATTTTGCCCATCCCAATATTTTTATTGGTATAAGATGGATTTGAAATCTTCGGACCACTATATCTGGTAACTCGAATACAGTTCAACCTTTTGGACTATGGACAAAAAATCTAAAAATATTTTTTAAAAATTCAAGATTATGGAATTTTTAAAAAATATTTTTAGATTTTTTTTTAATTTTTGTTTGTAGTGTTGATTTTTTAAATATCTTAGAGAATTTTATATCTTTTTTCAATATTAAAAAAAAAAGAATTCAGTTTTGGTTTGATTTAAATTCATATTTTTTTTTTTGTTAAAAAAAAATGTCGAATTTTTTCCCACCACCTCCTTGGTGCAGGGGTTGATTTTTGTTTGGCTTTGCCCACGGGTTTGGGGAGGGGGGGTAAGATAAGATGACAAACATTTTATAATACCCTACTACGACATAGTGGGAACAGCGTTTTACGACAATACATAGTAAGCCAAATGCCAAAGAAAAAATTGTTTAAATGAAGAAAAGTGGTCAACGCCGCCTCCGCCACTAACGACACGACGACACTTTGACAAAATCGAAGTGAAAAAAAAAACGCAATACAAAATCCCTAGAACGGTGGAAAACTAATTCCTAAGGCTTCTCTAATGCCAAACGGTAAAAAACAGACAAATAGAAAATGAATGGAAAAACTAGAAAAATAGCCACACTCAACGACGTTTTGGGTTTTAAAGAAACTAAACAATTCCCTAATTTAGTCTAGTCGGTGCTGTGGACGGTGCAATAGAGAAATTTCCAAAAAAAAAGAAAAAATTCAAATCGAAGCAAAAAATAAAAATTTCCAAGAAAAAAGTGCAATGCATAGAAAATTCTAAAATTTGAAAATTGAAATGGAAAAACAATGAAAATTATTAATTCGATATCGGAACGTTATCTCGTACAATCGCCAAGAAACGTTGCGTGTACACTTGCTTCGTTTCGAAATCAATAACCAAAAAACGAAATTCTATTTTTATGATCTCTTCTTGCTTTCTGGCGTACCGAAAATCCTTAGTGTGAACCTATCCGCCAACCTACCGACCGACCCAAACGAACAACTGAAACCTTAGTAATGTAGACTCAAAAAATATTTTCTGCAACAAAAAGAAAAAAAAAACAGAAAATAAATTGGGAGACATTTTCAAATCAAATACAAATGCGAAATGGAGCTACAATCCTATCCTGCATCAACAATCTAAGGAACTTTCTTCCTTACAACAAATCCAACTTCCATAAAATAGAATATAAAATACATATGTGTATTGTATATATAGTATATATGTAAAAAAGCAACGATTAGGTTATCATCTTAGATTTACTCTTTAAATATAAAAATTAGTTAGATTTGATTATTCCACACAATTTTCATTTGAATGGAAAAAGGCACAACTATGAAACGGAAGCAGAGACGTTACAGGTAAATATCTCTTTCTTACAAAACGACAAAAATGTATACATATTTAAAACTTGAAATAGTTTCAAAAACATTCAAATAAGTTAGTGGTTGCTAAGCCTAGAATTTTTGGAACTTCTCACTAAAAGATTGCGAAAAGTATTAAAATATAGAACATTTGGTTGTATCGTTGAGCGATTGGGAATATTAGAATCTGACTTTACACGCTTCTCCACCGTAAGAGTGTGTAAAAAAATCATAGCTTATAATATTTCTAATCGTTACATGCTATTACCAGTCTGAAAAATCCACTAACACAAATTCGAATAGTTACAATATTTTCTATAAATATTTGAAAAAAAAAAAAAAAAACCCACGACAGGAGAAAGTCTTCTAAAAATGTTCTAAAAAAATACAATTCGTAAATATTCTTTAATAAAAACCAGTCAAGAAAGTCTTAAAGTCGGGGGGGGGCGGAATTTACGATACCCTACACCACATTAAATAAATATGCCGAAGCATTTGTACCTTTTCAATTCGGACTTGTATTTCCCATTTGGTGCACAATTAACTTGAAATCGGATAAAGATATATATGGGAGCTATATCCAAATCGGAACCGATTTCAATAAAATTTGGCAAAGATATTTCTGAGCTGTATTTGATATATTTCCCTGAATATAGTTGTTACGATGTGCATATTATGGCTGTGGGGAACAAATATAACAAATCGGATGAACAATATATATGGGAGCTAGAGCTATATCTAAACCGATCTTCACTAAATTTGATGTACTAGCTTCTAGACTAAATTCGGTCGTAAGTGCCAAATTCCATCCCATTTGGGCAAATATTAGACGTTTGGTGCACAATCTAAGGTAAATCGGACGAAATTATATATGGGAGCTATATTCAAATCTGTTCCGATCTCTATAAAATTTGGCAAAGTTATTTCTGAGCTGTATTTGGTATATTTCCCCAAATATTGTTGCTACAGAGTGTAATACGGCCACGGAAGACAAAAATAAAAAATCGGTTGAAAAATATATTTGGGAGCTATAGCTATATCTGAACCGATTTCGATCAAATTTGGCATACTTATTTTCAGGCCTGATTTGATTGTATGTGCAAAATTCCATACTATTTGGGCTGATATTACACGTTTGGTGCACAATAAAAGGCAAATCGGACGAAGATATAAGCATGGGAGCTATATCTAAATTTTGACCGATGATCTCCAATTTCAATAGAGTTCGTCCTTGGGCCAAGCAAATGACTTGTGCAAAATTTCATCTCAATTGAATAATAAATGCGACCTGCATTTTGTTTACAAAAATACATGGACAGACGGACGGACGGACACACAGATGGACGGACGGACATGCTTAAGTCGACTTAAATGTAATTCTATGCTGATCACCAAAAGGAACTATGGGTCTATCTCGTTTCCTTTTGCCTGTTACAAACAATTGCACAAAGACATAATCTGTCTGAAGACTTCAAAAACTCCATTAGAAAAAAAGTAAAAAAAAAACATTAAGTTCGACCTTGCCGAACTTTTAATACCCTCCACCTTAGGGCAAAGGAAACATTAGAACTCATTATGACCCACAAATACCAATTTTTAGACATATACGTGGGAAAATCTAGCAAAAATCATCAAAATAACGAATATCGGGAGGCATCGCTATATGGAGCTATACCAAAGCGTGGACCTATACATGCAATGTTTCGCCACCGGAGCTAGAACCCACTATGACCAACAAATACCAATTTTTAGACAAATCTATGAAAAAAATGCGACAAAAATCATCAAAATACCGAATATCGGAAGATACCGTTATATGGGGGCTATACCAAAACGTGAACCGATATATCTCATTTTCAATACCAACCATCCTAGACATAATACAAATTATTCTGCTAAATCGTCTTAGAATTTTATGCTGATTATGAATATATATACATTATGGGGTCTACGACGAATATTTAGGGATGACAAATGGAATGAGAAAGTTAATATACCCTCCTTTCCAAGGTGGAGGGTAGAAAAATGTCGGAAATAGCATCGAATTTTAGAATAAGTTAAGATTTGTTCAAATTTGTCACCTTTGGCACGAATTATGGCCTTCAAACCGTTACACGCTGCCCGAATTTTGCTGTGCGGCATTTTGGCCCATTCCCGGCGAAGCGCTTGCTTGAGGTGATCGACACTTTGGTATTTTTTAGTGCCAACATCGGTTTCCAAAATACTCCGGACACAATACTCCAACGGATTGGTATCCGGAGATTTTTGTTGCCATTGTGTCCTGGAAATGAAGCGAGAAACCTCATTTTGTAACCATTCTTGGGTGGCGCGTGCTGAGTGCGATGGTGCTGAGTCATGTTGGAATGTCCAAGGTCTGCGACCAAAATGTTTTGCGTACCCAAGGCTTTAGTGTACCCTCCAGAATATTTTCGCGACAATATTCGGCATTTATTCTGATACAACGATCGATTAATACGAGCAGAGAGCGACTATCGGCTGTTGTGGCGGCCCACACCATCACCAAGACCGGCGCTTGAATTCTGGTGGCCAACCGACGGTGCACATTTTCAGCTGAGCTCTTTGGCAAGTAAACACGATCATTTTTATACCCTCCACCATGGGTAGGAGGGTATATTAACTTTGTCATTCCGTTTGTAACACCTCTAAATATTCGTCGTAGACCCCATAAAGTATATATATTCATAATCAGCATAAAATTCTAAGACGATTTAGCGATGTCCGTCTGTCTGTCTGTCTGTCTGTCTGTCCGTCTGTCTGTTGAAATCACGATAGAGCCCACATTATTTGACGTAGACCTTTGAAATTTGGCACAAGTGTGTGTATTGTCCCTAGGATGGTTGGTATTGAAAATGAGATATATCGGTCCACGTTCTGGTATAGTCCCCATATAACGGTACCTCCCGATATTCGGTATTTTGATGATTTATGCCACATTTTTTCACGGATTTATCTGAAAATTGGTATTTGTAGGTCATGACGGGTCCCTGAGCGTGTGGCAAAACATTGCATGTATAGGTCCACGTTTTGGTATAGCCCCCATATAACGGTACCTCCCGATATTCGGTATTTTGATGATTTATGCCACATTTTTTCACTGATTTGTGTAAAAGTTGGTATTTGTGGGTCATAATGGGTCCTAGTTCGTGTGGCGATACATTGTAATTATAGGTGCACGTGTTGGTGTAGCCCCTATATAACGGTACCTCCCGATATTCGGCATTTTAATGTTTTTTGCCACATTTCTTCTAATGTTCTTTTACCCTAGGGTGGAGGGTATTAAAAGTTTGGCCCGGCCGAACTTAATGTTTTTTTACTTGTTAATATTTTACAGAATTGAAATTAATAGACAAATATATAAGATAGAGGAAATATTTTAAAGTTTTTTGGCAACATTTATGCAAATATTTTCCTGATATATAATGAAAATAGGGATTCGCTTTTGCTGGTGACTTATGGTGAAATTTAATGGGGAATATTTTTGTCCTTGACATCATCCTTCTAAAGTGTTTTTTTTTTTTTTGTGGGATATTTCTGCATAAAGTCGTACGGTTCTAGCGTTAAGGTAAGAGTCAGAGGTTTGATGTCTTCTAGGATCCATAGTAAAATTGTATGACAAATACCCTATTTCTTAAAGTAATTTTGTAGAATATTTTGAATTGTTATATTGCCGTTTAAGGGTACTTTTTAAGTGGTTTTTGAAAAAAAAGAAAACCAAAAATACCCAATTAGTGACTTGCTTGGGGGGTTAAAATTGTTAGACGAAATAATCCTTATATTGTTATCAGTAATATTACCAAAGACACTATATACCTAAAATTCAAGGATTCCAATTTTAATCCGAAACGTTACAAAAAATGGCATACACGGGTCTTCTATATTTAGCTCTTGTTTCATTATTTTTTGAGATTTCCTGTAATTTTGAAACAAAAAATGAATTCTGCAAAAATATCAACATATTTATATATATACAGGGTGAGATGGAAAAACTACAACCAATTTCAGACTGCTGTCATTTCTAAGCCACTCGTCCGACAGCTCTTAAAACTATTCCAGTGATAGCTCATTATATTGTTCAAAAGCGTACAGAAGCATTTTGGTGAGAATTTTCCAGACAAAAAATTATTCGTGATGGAATTCAAGCGTTGCGGTGTGATTTCTTCATATTTGGCTAGAAAACCACCAAAAGTGGCTATTGTTAGAGCACTCCAGAATTTAAATGTGAATAAATCTTTTGTGTCTCGTAGCATCGCCTGTTACTGGTAGCTTAACCCGAATTCAAAGAAGTGGACGGAAGAAAACAGAAATGGTTCGAAAAGTAAAGAAGCGACTTGATTGTAACCCGCGTCGCAGTGGCCGACGAGCTGAAATGGCTCGTGAGCTGAACATATCGCAATATTCCTTTCGGCAAATATTGAAAATTGAGCTCGGGGTAAAGCCATTAAAATTCCAAAAAGTGTAAGAGCTTACACCGCAACAGAAAGAAAATAGACTCTAAAGAGCTAAAGAGTTGCTTCCCTTGGACAAAAGTGGTGAACTGCCGAAATTGGTTTTCTCCGATGAGAAAACATTCGTTGTCCAGCAGTTAATAAACAAAGAGGTCAACTGATAATGTGCACCGTCGGTTGGCAACCAGAACTCAAGCGCCGGCCATGGAAATGGTGTGGGCCGCCATAACAGCCGTATTAATCGACCGTGGCATCCGAATACTATCGCGAAAATATGCTGGAGGGTGTATTAGAGCCTTGGGCACGCAAACATTTTGGCCGCAGATCTTGCACATTCCAACAGGACTCAGCATGTGCCACCCAATAATAGTTACAAAATGAAGTTCCTCGCTTTATTTCCAGCGCACAATGGCCGCTAAAATCTCCGGATACCAATCCCTTGGACTATTGTGTCTGGAGTATTTTGGAAAGCAAGGTTGGTACTAAAAAATACCAAAGTGTCGATCACCTCAAGCAAGCGCTTCGCAGGGAATGGGCCAAAATACCGCAGAACAACATTCGGACAGCGTGTGACGGTTTCATTGGCCGTTTGAAGGCCATAATTCATGCCAAAGGTGACCAATTCGAACAAATCTAATTTTATTCTAAAATATAATTCAATAGAATTTTTTATCTCATCCTGTATTTTAGCTCGGGATGTTGAGAGGTCATATGAAAGTTCTCCACTCTCATATGACCAGTGATGAGACACTTATTCCCTCCCTCTAATAGCTTTCAGACCTAAGACTAAACAAATATTAAAAATAGCTTGTGTTTAGATTTGACTTACATAAAGTCACACATACAATCATACCTACATATTCACATACATATTCAAATACATATGTATATAAATAGGTAGCGAACATATGTATGTATAATGTGCGTACTTTGTCTATTTATTCGATACTTATGTAAAGGCAAAGAAGACACCGATAGATGGGTGAATGGCAACCAAAAGACAATTGCATCACACACACACACACACACACATAGACGCACACATATTGACAGGTATTTACTTACACCCACACAAATCCCAGTACATGGAGTGTGTGGTAGGTAAATATGTAAAAAAAATAGGTAAACAATATATGTATATATGTAGATTACATACATACACCTCACACACATGTTGTGAGTCGAACAAAAGCCCCGACTTGTTACCGGATATTGTCGGACAATTTTTGATTTGACATGTGGGTGAATTGGCCTTTCCATGCCATGGAAGGGTGGTTTTTCAGCCAAGAAGACACCAACGCGACAAAGAAGAATAAATAAAAATAAAAACAACAATGTTGCAGACATGACGTTAGCAAAAAATTCCAACAAAAACAACAACAACACCTACAATTGAGAAGCTTACTAATGTGTTATTTGTTTTTGTTCTTCTCTCTTTTTTGCCTTTCATTTTTTTCCTTTGCTTGTCTCTGCCCTGCATTTCAGAACCACATTTAATACAGTACAACTTCAGGAATTGGAAAGAGCCTTCCAGCGCACCCACTATCCAGATGTCTTCTTTCGCGAGGAGCTGGCGGTGCGCATTGATTTGACCGAGGCCAGGGTCCAGGTGTGGTTTCAAAATCGCCGGGCCAAGTGGCGTAAACAGGAGAAGGTGGACCTAAAGGATGGTGAGGAGTTGGGTTCGCAGGGCCAGCCGTATGAGGATAATGTTTTGGTGCCACTGGATCACCAACTAGGTGGGTGTTACAAATTTTCAGATTTTTTTTTAAATATTTCAATAATACTTTTTTTTTTGCAACAGGTTCCACTTTATTGCCCGATACTCCACCCCAGTCCTCCAACTCCTTGGACAATGAGGGTAAGACACCCTTTGGCAGTGATGGCAGTGGTGGTGGAGGCTCCTCGGGCCTGGGCTGTGATGGTGGCCTGACCACACCTTCTCGTATGTCCCCCAATATTTTTCTCAATCTCAACATAGATCACATGGGCCTGGAGCGGGGTGGCAGTTTGTCCATGGAATGGTCTACCTATCCACCCAACTCCATGGGAGCCAATAGTTTACAGGACATGCCATCCACCTCGAATAAATCACCGTCATCACCTCAGCTGGGATATGAAAGCAATACGTTACCTACCTCTTCAACGGCTGGACTGATGAAATCTGGGTCCATGGATCAGGAGGGCTCTCAGCAGCAGCAACAGCATCATCATCAGCAACAAAATCTGCATCATTTATCGCACAGCAATACAAACCACCACCACCTCCAGCAGCATAACCAGGAGCAACAGAATACTCACCACCACCACCTCACCCATCATACGGACCAGGACCCCGTAGCCAATGGCCTCATAACCGTCAACTGTTTGAATACCTCATTGGATTTGGTCGACAACACCACCTCCACCTCAACCTATGATGAAATGAAATTCCTCAATGTCGACCAATACACCATTGAACAGCTAAAGGCGGAATGCATACTCAACATGGATCAGACCCTTTCGCTGGGCGATGAGGCCACCGATGTGGAGGATAAATCTTCCACAGGACATCATTTGAATTTATCCCACTATTCCCATCACGATCATCATCAGCAGGCGCTGCAGGATCAACAATCTCTCAATGACAGCCTTCATAATCCTCATACTTCTGGGATTTCACTATTCAGTTTGGATACATCCTCACCCGATCAGGATCCATATATTCTGTCGCAGAATCACTTTGGCAACCATCTGCAATTGCCGGTAAATTCCCAGCTCCTAAATTCGGGAGATTCGCTGCAACAACATTTAAATTCCCTGAATTTAGATCTACCGGTTTTTGGTCTGACATCCATGGTGGATTCGAAGTCACCACCTCTGCTGGTGCTGGACAAACCCTTGTCGCTGAATATCAGTGTTGATAATATCCACGATTTGGTCGATGATAAGTACTGAAACGCAATTCCAGACTTATAAAAATAAAATGTTGAAGAAATTCTCAGATTTAATGGGCCTCAGGATATTTTATGGGAGTGGCGACCCAATATTCTTCGAATTTTTGTCCACATTTTTTCGGAGGAAAAAGTGGCGACCCCACGTTCTACGAAATTTTCTATATTTTATGTGAGTGGCGACCCAAGATTCTTCTAATTTTTGTCCACATTTTTTTCAGAGGAAAAAGTGGCGAACCCACGGTCTACGAAATTTCCCAATAGAAAAATGTGAAACCAATTTTTTTTTTCATAAAAAGTGCGACCCAAATTTTACGATTTTTTTCTATCAAAAAATTTGAACAAAGTTTTTTGTGTTTTTTTCCTTTGGAAAATATTTCGGAAAACCTTGGTCCGAATTTTTTTCTCTAAAAAAAATTTAAAATAACCTAGTTCGTAGATTTTTTCTTCAGAAATAAAATCATACGAATTCGGTTTATTGAATTCATCTATGGAAAAATTTCGGAGAATATTGGTTCTTGTTTTTTTTTCTGCGGAAAATAGAAGAAATACCCAATTGGGGTGCTGAGATTTTTTTTTTCTAAAAAATATCTTCCATTCCAGGGATCGTCTTTTTGTAATTTGTGTTGTCCTTAAATATATGTGTGAAGGTTGTGTAAGAATATTCTCTCTATTTTCTTCTCCTCCTCCTCCCTCCATTGTTATAAAAATTATAAACAATTCCCAGCTAATAGAATAATTGTTTTTTTTTTAATATAATCTCTCGCTCTTAAATAAATTATAATCAAGAATTTTAGTTTAGTTTAATTATAAATTAATTTTAAATTATTATAATTGTAAAAAAACTAAAAATTTGCACTAAAAAATATAATTAAAAATAAATAAATAACAAAAATGTATACATAAATATAAAATGTCTATTCAGTGGCTACACTCGAAAAAAGAGGTTTGTCAATGTTTAAAATTTAATTTGAAGAGGGTTGTCTTTTTTTTGGGGAGAGGGTCTTGTCTTTGATTAGGTGTTACAAAAAAAAAAAAAAAAAAAAAAAAAAAAAAAAAACACCACCTACAGCAAAATATCTATTCCAAGGCTACAGGAACAATTTTTCATAGTCCTGGGGTTGAAATTTCTTGAGTCTTCCACAATTGATATTTCTTGAGTTCTATCAGACAATTGTTGCTCCTGGAGGTCCTGATAAAATTACCCTTTATACCCTCCACCATGCTATGGAGGGTAGCTTTGCCATTCCGTTTGTAACTCCTCGAAACATTCATAATGGACTCTACAAAGTATATACAGGGTGATGAAATAAAAAAAAAAATCGGAAAAGGTAAAACGCCATAATTTTTTTTTTTAATTTCATTGAATGAAAGCAACAAATCTCGGAAATAGCATAACATTTTAGAATAAGTTTAGATTTGTTCGAATTGGTCACCTTTGGCACGAATTATGGCCTTCAAACGGCCAATGAAACCGTCACACGCTGCCCGAATGTTGCGCTACGATATTTTAGCCCATTTCCGGCGAAGCACTTGATTGAGCTGATCGACACTTTGGTATTTTTTAATGCCAACCTTGCTTTCCAAAATACTCCAGACACAATAGTCAAACGGATTGGTATCCGGAGATTTTGGTGGTCAATGTGTGCTGGAAATGAAGCGCGGAACCTCATTTTTTAACCATTCTTGGGGGGCGCGTGCTGAGTGCGATTGTGCTGAGTTCTGTTGGAATGTCCAAGGTCTGCGGCCAAAATGTTTGCCTGTCCAAGGCTTTAATATACCCTCCAGAATATTTTCGCGATAATATTCGGCATTTATTCTGATGCCACGGTCGATTTATACGAGCAGAGAGCGATTATCGGCTGTTATGGCGGCCCACACCATAACCATGGCCGGCGCGTAAGTTCTGGTGGCCAACCGAAGGTGCACATTTTCAGCTGATCTCTTTGGCAAGTAAACACGACAATTTTCTTTGTTTACATACTGCTGGATAACGAATGTTTTCTCATCGGAGAACCAAACCAAATTCGGCAGTTTACCACTTTCGGCCAAGCGAAGCAACTCTTAGGCTCTTTTGACTCTATTTTCTTTCTGTTGCGGTGTAAGTTCTTGCACTTTTTGGAATTTCAATGGCTTTACCCCGAGCTAATTTTTTGATATTTGCCGAATGGGATATTGCGATATGTTCAGCGCACGAGCCATTTTTCGGCCACTGAGACGAGAGTTTCGATCAAATCGCTTTTTTAGTTTTCAAACCATTTCTGCTGATGTTGCTGTTTTTTTCCGGCCACCTCCGTGACGTCGGGCTACGCTACCAGTACCACGGTAACGAGTGATGGTACGAGACACAAAAGATTTATTCACATTTAAATGCTGGAGTGCTCTAACGATAGCCACTTGTGGTTTTCCAGCCAAATATAAAGAAATCACACTATCACGCTTGAATTCCGTCACGAATAATTTTTTTTTTCTGGAAAATTCTCTTCAAAATTTCCTTGAAAACAATATCATAGACAGTCACTGGAATAATTTTAACAGCTGTCGGACGAGTGGCTTAAAAATGACAGTAGTTTGAAGTTGGTTACTGTTTTTCCATCTCACCCTGTATTTCGGTCTTTCTGGTACCTGCCCAACAAAGGGTCAAACTTTTGAGTATTCATGAAGTTCATAAAACACGAAATTAACATCCGATTCTATTCAGACTTGATACCTTTCTATATTTCTGTCAACACAAGATCTGTTGTAGAGATGGTATAGATCGGTTCATTTCTTCTGGTGCCTCCCCTACAAAGGGCCAAAGTTTTGAAGAACCGAAGCGATAATAAAATGCTAAATAAGCATACGGCTCTCTCTTCGTGTTTCTCACATCCTAATATTTCCACTAAGAAAAGATCCGTTGTGAAGATGGTATATAACGGTTCACTCCTTCTGGCACCTCCCCCAAAAGGTGTCAACATTTTCAATATCCTTGAAGCTCATAAAACGCGAAATTAAGATCCGATTCCATTCAGACTTAGCGCATACCAATATTTCCATTAACACAAGATCTGTTATAAAGATGATAGAGATCGGATCTTTTTTTCTGGTACCACACCCACAAAGGATCAAAATTTTTTTTAAAATAATTTTTATCAGAAATATGTCAGATAGGAAATGGAAATTGTGTCAACTTCGGAACCTCTCCTATGAAGGGTCAGCAGTTTGAATATTTATAACGTAAGTCAAAATATGTTTAAATAACCGAACATTGGCTGAGGGCATGCAGCTGTTGGCAATACCGACTGATTCCATTTAATTTGTTTTATATTATTTTCGAATATATAACACTTTTTGAGTGTGTTTTATTGTGGTTCTTATGCCTGGAATGTCTCATTAAAGAAGTTGAATGGAAACTCTAAGAAAAATTGCTAAAAATTTTTTCGAGTGTATATTTTTGTAATTTTTCCCTGGAAACTCTAAAAACATTTTTTTCGAATGAATTTTTTTGTAATTTTTTAAAAATTAATTAATTTTTTAGAGAATTTTTTTTTTTAGAGAAATTCGAGTATTTTCTGTTTTGTGCTGAGGACATACGGAAAGCATACGGCAAGGCTACACCCGAACAGGTTGGTCTGTAAGTTTCCACTTTTCATAGTCCTGTGAATGCTAAAAGGTTGCAATATAAAATTGGCATTCATTAACTCCCGATTAATTATTTAAGAAATTGTCTGTCATGGAGGTCCTGAATTTTTTAAATGTTTTTCGAGTGTATTTGAACTTTATTAAGTATATTTTCAGCATTTATTATATTTTGTAACCCGTTAAAAAATTTGCTCTGTAAGTTTTCAGTAATGAGTTATCACCTGTGCATACCCAAAGATCCCAGATGAAATTGACATTTTTTGACTAACAAAATTATAGAAACATTGCCAGGCATTGGGGTTCTGATTTTTTTTTTCGAGTGTATAAAAATGTTATTGAATTTTTTGAGTGTTTTTTGTTGTAATTTTGTAAGGCGTAATGATACGCCGCATTACACTTCTGAATTCGATTGCTATTTTATCAAAGGTACATTACCTAAAATACACTCGAAAAAAAGTGTCTGTTAAATTGAGTTATTTTTAAGTCTTAAAATTTTCTTCGCAGGATTTGGTCCCAAGGTTCTTTGTTCTATCTGCTGCTCTTTAATATTGTATGTTTTTGTAGAAATTAGAAAATTTAAATATTGTCACTCCTGAAGGCCCCGGTAACATATTTTATTGATATGGTTTCCAATTATATTTTTTTTCGATTGTATGTACATACATTATTTTTTTCGACTGTACAAAATTTGTCTATAAAATCAAAAAAAAAAAAACATATTTATTGAAATTTTTTCCCTGAAATCTCTAAAGACATTTTTTCGAGTGTATGTTTTTGGTTTTGGAAACTGAAAGGGATTTTTTTAAGAGAAAATATAAATTCAGCATAGCTTAGCTTCAAGAAATACATTTTCTGTGGAAAATATGTTTCAGTTAATTAAAAAAATGTTCCGAAACTCCAAGAATTTAAAAGCCTTTACTTCGATTACCGATTTTTCCTTTATGATATTGAAAAAAAAATTGAAAAATTATTATAGTAATAACGTCAATCATGGAGATCATGAAAAAATGTTTTTGCAATTTTTTTTTCGAGTGTATAAAAATGTTATTGAATTTATATATCAATTCACCACAGCTTAGCTTCAAGAAATACATTTTCTGTGGAAATGTACGCTCGAAAATATGTTTCACTTAATTAAAAAAAAATTATATGGTCTGTTCCAAAACTCCAAGAATTTAAAAGTTTTTACTTCGATTACCGATTTTCCTTTTATGATATTGAAAAAAAATGCAAAATAGTGCATGAAAAATTTTTTTTTTCAGTGCATGAAAAAATTTTTTTCGAGTGTATAAAAATGTTATTGAATTTTTTTGAGTATTTTGTTTCAATTTTTTGTAACCCGCAAGCTTCGAGGCAGTGGGAACTTGACTTGTATTGGTCGTTATTAGATGTATGTTTCATAAATACACTCGAAAAAAAAAGATCTGTTAATATGAAATATTTTTGATTCCCCTAGATTCTTCACTAGATTTGGTAGTTTCTCTGGATTCCAGGGTGAAATTTTGAGAGTTTTTGATATGAGTGCAAAAAATTTTTTTGTTGTTGTAATTTTTTAATCTGTAATGCTTTCCGGTTGTTGGAAAAGGTTGAAATTTTGATCAGTTCCCTCCTTGATTTTTTTTAATTTTTTTTTCCGAGTGTATAAAGAATTTTATTTTTTGGTTGTATTTTTTAACCTCTAATACCGTCCGGCAGTTGTATTATTTTATTGTTAAGCAGTCATTACATAGAACACACTCGAGAAAATTATCTGCTAATTTGAATTATTTTTAACTCCTAAATTTTCTTCCCCCGATTTTGTTGTTTCATTGAGTTTCAGGGTGAAATTTCTATCTGATCCTCTTTGATGCTGCTGTTGTTGTTGTTGTATGCCACCATGAGGTCTATAGAAATGATTTAATTGCAATTTATCCTTTGAAATTGCATTGATATCCTGGGTCGGCAAGCCATTCAAAATATTGCCAATTATTGTGACCTGTAAGGGAAGACCTCCTCTCTCAGTTTCCTCTGTGTCTATCACAAAGTCACCTTTAACTTACCTCTAGTTTAGACCATTTATTTGGCTCACCAAAGGCATCGGAACGACGGGCCATGTTGGCAAAGGCCTGCAAGCGGTCCTCGGGACATTTTTCCAACAAACCAATCCATTCAATGGCTTCCCTGGGGAAAATTAGATTTTTATTACTCCAGTGAAAGTCTTCCCTGGGGAAAATTTGATATTTATACAAGGTGGCGCAAAAGTAATCCTCCTTCGAGAGAATGCTATAAATTTTATGATTGGTCCCTAATGTCTTAATTACAGCCAAAAAAAAAATATCGGAAGTTTGCTTTTGGGCCACCTTGTACATGCATATGTACTTGACAGGCATTCCTATGTTTTTTGGCTGCAATTAAGACATTAGGGGCCAATCGTAAAATTTATAGCAGTTTCTGATAGGATAATTACTTTTGTGCCACCTTGTACAATTCTCCCTCCCTGGCTGGCTATATACTCACATAAATGCATCTGTGTGTATGTTCTCTATGTCCGTCACATTGAAGTAGCACAAAATTTCACCCATTGCCCTTAGGTCATATTCCGAATAGGTTTGTGGCGTTTTTCCCAACCACTCCGAACGAACTTTTTGAGCCAACATCGACAATTGTTCCTCACTGAATCCCTGTTGATATTCCCGCAGGGACATTGTGTTTATAATCGAACCGAAAATTTCAATCATATCCACATTTTCCATACTTATATTGCGGAAATCCTCCAAGGGTATGGCTGTCAGGGCATAACCCATTAGTCGATAGGCCTCATGGGGTACATTATCAATGGAGGACTCAAAACTCTGTAACAAAATTGGATTTCAAACAAGATTTAGAGGCAAGAAAAAATTGCCTTCGAACCAATTTCACCAGCCTCCAGATATTTTCATTCATTTTGCTGGACATCGATTCTCCGCTGACCACCAGCAGACATTGTCTCAAATATTACCATTTTATTTGTTGTAATTCCTGATTCTGCAATGTCTCTCGGCAATAGGCCGATGAATTGGAATTTTCTATCAAGACCAATAGAAATACTATGCCACTTATCAGCCTGAGTTTCATGATGACACTAAAACCTCGAGTGCATGTTATATTCTGCATTTCCTATCGATGGCTAAGGACGACAAGGACTTTAATTTTTAATTGGCTTTAACTGGGTTATTTGTCGGTACTAGTTAAGTTTAAGGCTAAAATGGAAAATGGATTAAACAATATTTGTTTTAATTTAAAAAAATATATTTTTTAAGCAAAATTTAAAATTTTTCTACGCTCGAAAAAAAAATAATATTTTTCTGTATCTCCAGAAGTGAAATTTTTTCAATAAAAAATTTCATGGAAGAAAATGAATGTTAATTTTACGTAGGAGCTTTTTGCACAAACACACAGAAATATGAAAACTGAAAATTAACAGAGCAAATTTTTCGATTGTAGTCTTTGAGTAGACATTTTGGGGTTGGCGCCCAAGATTTTGCCCCACCAGATAGCATTACAATTTCAATTTTATGTAAGTGAATGCAAAGCGCAGTCACTGGATTAAGAAAACTGAAAATAAATAGAAGAACATTTTTCAAGTGTAACCTTTGAGTAGACATTTTAGGGAAGGCGCCCATAAAAAAAAAACTCAAAAAAAAAAAACTACAAAAAGTTAATAAAATTTGCATACACTCGTAAAAATTGGTCTGTTAATTTTCAGATTTCTTAATTTTGTGAAAGCAAAAAGCTTCCCCCGTTAGATTGACTTTCATTTTCTTCCAAAAATTATTTATAAACAAATTTTCACTCGTCTTCATGTCTTGAAAAAAATGTTATGGATTTTTTTCGAGTGAATCCAAAATTTTATTAATTTTTAAAAAAACTATAATCGAAAAAGTTGATCTGTTAGTTTTCATACTATTTTTAGATCTTACCGAATAAAAAAATTCAAATAAATAAATAAAATTTCAAAAATTAATAAAATTTTGTATTCACTCGAAAAAATCCATAAATTTTGCCCCACTGCCGGAAAGCATTACAATTTCAATTTAAACAGGATTAAGAAAACTGAAAAAAATAGATCAAAATTTTGCGAGTGTAACCTTTGAGTAGACATTTTAGGGTAGGCGCCCAGGTTTTGGGCCCACTGCCGGAATGCCTTATGAATTAAAAAAAATCATAAAAAAAAACTCAAGAAAGCCAATAAAATTTGTATACACTCGAAAAAAATGTGTTTGTTAATTTCCAGATTTCTTAATTTTGTGGTAGCGAAAAGGTTCCTACATTAAATTGACTTTCATTTTCTTCTGCAAAATTATTTATAGAAAATTTTTCACTTGTCTTCATGTCCTGAAAAAAATGTTATGGATTTTTTTCGAGTGAATACAAAATTTAATAATTTTTAAAAAAAATATACTCGAAAAAGTTGATCTGTTATTTTTCATATTTTTTTAGATTTTACCGAAGAAAAAAATTCAAATAAATAAATAAAATAAAATTTCTAAAATTAATAAAATTTTGTATTCACTCGAAAAAAATCCATAACATTTTTTCCGGACATAATGTCATGAGTGAAAATGTTTCTATAAATATTTCTGCAGAAGACAATGAACGTTAATTTAATTTAGGAACCGTTTTGCTTTCACAAAATTAAGAAAGCAGATAATTAACAGACCAATTTCTTCGAGTGTAGACTGTGAAGACATCTGTTGGGGTATGTGCCCAAGACTTTGGCATACTACCGGGAAGCTTTACAAATAAAATTTTTCTATAAAAAATTTTGTGGAAGAAAATGAACGTCAATTTAATGTAGGAATCTTTTTGCTACCACAAAATTAAGAAATCTGATAATTAACAGATCAATTTCTTCGAGTGTAGACTCTGAAAACATTCGTTGGTGAAGGTGTCCAAGACTTTGGCATACTACCGGGAAGCTTTACAAATAAAAAAAAAAACTTCAACAAAAACACTAAAAAAAGGAATAAAATATGCATACACTCGAAAAAATTGGTCTGTCAATTTTCAGATTTCTTAATTTTGTGGTAGCAAAAAGGTTCCTACATTAAATTGAATTAAATTGACGTCATTTTCTTCCACAAAAAAAAAAAAAAAAAAAAAAAAAAAAACAATAGAAAGGGCAATAAAATTTGTATACACTCGAAAAAAATTGAATGGGATTTTTTGCGGTCAATACTAAAATATTTTTCTAAATAATTTTTTGGAAATCGATAAATGTCAATTTTATGTATGAGGCTCTTACATAACGCTTCTACATTTCGTAAAGGCTCCTACAAGAATTCGAGTGTAGCCTCTGAATATAATTTTTGGGCATGACTTTGGCATACTATAGGGAAGCATTACAGCTTAAAAAACTACGACAAATACACTTAAAAAAATCAATAAAATGTTATACACTCGAAAAAAAGTTCAGGACCTCCATAATTTCTTTTGAAAAATAATTTTGTAAAAGAAAATGAATGATGTCAATTTTATGTAGAACCCCTTTTTGCATCCACAGAATTAGGAAAACTGAAAGCTACAATACCGTTTTTTAGTGTAGCCATTTTCTGGTAGGTGCTCAAGTTTTGACCCACTGCCGGAAAGCATTGCAGGTAAAACAAGTAAAAAAACATTAAGTTCGGCCGGGCCGAAATTTTAATGCCCTCCACCTTAGGTAAAGGAAACATTAGAATCCATTATGACCCACAAATACAATTTTTAGAGGGAAAATGTGCCAAAAATGATCGAAATACCGTTATATGGGGCCAGAGGAGTTAGAACCAAATACCAATATTTAGAGAAATGAAAAATGTGGCAAAAAATCATCAAAATACCGAATATCGGGAAGTACCGTTATATGGAGGCTATACCAAAGCGTGGACCTATACATACAAAGTTTCGCCACACGAACTAGGGCCCTAAAATTCCAATTTTCAGACAAATCATTGAAAATATTTGGCAAAAACCATCAAAATACCGAATGTACCGTTATATGGGAGCAAAGAATAAACATATTTCGAGAACCCCTCTCTTTTATAGAAACAAATTCGTAAAATTTTTTTATTTTTTTTCAGAGACTCATCAAACTCAAAGTAAATCATGGGAACATTCTCAATGTATGAGCCACCTGATGTAGGTTGTTATCAAAACATGTTCGTCATAATTGCTATGGATCGATCGTTAATACAGTTTAATCGAAAATAGACGTCATCATGTTTTTGGCATTTGGCCCTCAAAATGTTTCTATGAAATTGTTAAGGGAAAATTTCCATCTGATGTTAAATGCATTTCAAATAAAAAAAAAAAACATTTTTTATTGAAAATTGCTGATACTTTGGCCTTATATTTAGTGATATGCTGGAAGAAAACATTATAAAATTAAAAAAAAAAATACAAAAATCCTGAATAGGTCATCGAGTGGAGATAAAAAATTAGAAACATGTGGCTGTGCTTTTTGTAGCACCAGTAATAGTTCTTCTGTAAGAAGAATGGATCCAGAAGACATAACACAAAGCCTCTTACTTTCACAATCAAGGTAATTTATGAAGAAGCTATAGCCTGCAGTAGATAGTTACCCCAAAATTGCTAACATATTTCTTGGTTGTCATTATATAGCTACTTCTCTGGTGTTCTCAATTTGTTATACCCTCCATAATAGTATGGAGGGTAAATTAAGTTTGTCATTCCGTTTGTAACACCTCGAAATATACATTTTAGTCCCCACAAAGTATATATATTCTTGATCAGCAAAAAATCCTATGTCGATTTAGCGATGTCCGTCCGTCGGCAGAAATCACTCTAGCTTCCGAACGAAATGAAGTAGGTTGATAAAATTTTACTCAAATGTATATTATGTCTGCATGACTTTTGGTACTGAAAATGGTCCATGTAGGTCCACGTTTTGCTATAGCCCCCATATAACGGTACCGCCCCATATTCGGTATTTTGATGACATTATTCACCGGAATTGTTTTAAATTTGGTATTTGAAGTTCGCAATGAATACTACAGTCTAAGATAGAAATTTTTCTGTGCAGGTCCATGTTTTCGTATAGCTCCCATATAACGGTACCGCCCCATATTCGGTATTTTGATGACATTATTCACCGGAATTGTTTTAAATTTGGTATTTGAAGTTCGTAATGGATACTACAGCCTGCATCCTTTTTGGCATTTTGATAAATTCTCGCGTCAGTGAGGAAGATTTTATTGAAACCATATTTGCGGAATGTGGCCAAAATTTTAGCCCAATCGAAGACAAAATCCTTTGCAGTATCGGATATGAATAAAGTCTATTTAATATCTTCTTCTTTCTCCATAAAAGTGCATACAATCCAAGGGCTTAAATTGGGAGCCTTTTTCACAGGACACGTAGAAAGTCTTAACAAGTTTTACAATTCCAGGCATAACTGCGTCGGGAGATTTTTCCAAATATTCAATCACTCTTTGACGTCATAGTTCATTGACGTCATGTTTCATCATTTCCGGAACATTGGTATAGTTGTCCATTTTATATTTGTATTAATCGGACCACTTATGACAGGCATATCTGTAGAACTACGAGCAAGGCCGGGCTTCCTTATCCAAAGATTGCATTAAAATTCATTAATGACCCTGTGATGCTCGCTGCATCTCACCACGCCAGGAGTGGCCCCAACCAACAAGATTATTATTTTCGTATCTTCTCAGAATTAAATCAGGGTTTCTTCGGTTGTCTAAGCTAAACTAATTGTTGCCGAATATACCATATAGCTTTTAGAATTTCTTTTAAATACATTGCAAAACTTAGATGATACTACCACAAATATATTGTTATCTAACATTTAGGGTCAAGCAGATGCCAGTCCGACTCATATTACCATTTCAATAATTTTGAATGTAGTTTAAGAGAGATAAAAATAAGATGGTCTTCATGGGCATATAACTAAATACCCTGTGGGAGTCAGTTTTATACCAAAATAGAAAACGTGAAGCGGCAGAAAATATTTGTGGTGGAATTTGAGATTCTAAATTTATGGAGAACATAGTATATTTTGTAAAGTATGCTTATGATTTTGGGTAGCCTCCTAAAGATTTGCGGAAAAAATTAAAAAATATATAACACAATCTTTTTGAAAATATTGGGACAAGGTGCGTGTAATAC